GAAATGGGATAATGCCTTTAAAATCTACAATTAATGGAATCTTAAGATTTCTTGTCGGTTGATGATAGTAAATAATATTTCGCACTTGTGGACAGAATCTGAATGTAATGGGTCAATATTTCTAATTTTAAGAGATTTTTGACTATATTATGACTCATATCACCTTGACCAGAAGTGGGATAATGCCTTTAAAATCCACAATTTATGGAATCTTAAGATTTCTTGTCGGTTGATGATAGTAAATAATATTTCGCACTTGTGGACAGAATCTGAATGTAATGGGTCAGTATTTCTAATTTTAAGAGATTTTTGACTATATTATGACTCATATCAGCTTGACCAGAAGTGGGATAATGCCTTTAAAATCTACAATTAATGGAATCTTAAGATTTCTTGTCGGTTGATAATAGTAAATAATATTTCGCACTTGTGGACAGAATCTGAATGTAATGGGTCAATAATACTAATTTTAAGAGATTTTTGACTATATAATCACTCATGTCCCTTTGACCAGAAATGGGAGAGCCCTTTCACATGTACAAATAATGGAATACTTGTAGCTGATTTTTATTAATTATCGATTAGATATTTACCCTTGTATTACTGTAATCAAACCGTGCAGAAGCGGCTTAACACCTTTAAAATTTATTAACTGTTGAATATTTATAATTAATTTTAGCTTTTGAAAGTGATTAGGACCACAAACTTAGCAAATATTGAGGGAGGTCATGATTGGTACTTTTATAGGGAATATTATACCAGTAAGTGTGTTACACAAGGAGTGTCAGAATTCAGAAATTCTTGTATTTACCGAGTGAGGGTGAAGGTAATACATGGATTCTTACATGAGTTTTGTAAAACAGAATATGTACTGTGTTTATCCACGTTTATCCACGTAATGCCAATCGCCAAGCACGGGTACTATCTTATTCCGTGTATTTTACCTTACCTTCCGCTGTCAGGGGTGCGATTGGTTAGCCTATTGGTCAAAGCGTTCGCTCGTCACGTCGAAGGCCCGGGTTCGATTCCCATCATGTGTTCAATGAGTAAACCCTATTTCTGGTGTCCCGTGCCATGATACTCCAGGAATGCTGCTAAAAGCAGTGTAAATACATATTCACCCACTTACTCACTCCTTCTGCAGACGTCTATCCACTAGACCACTCAGGCAGTTGATTTTGTGTAGAAGTGGTCCCCAGCAACACATGCTTAATTTTAATTGTCTTACTAGGTGACTTAATGGATCGGAGGTTCAACGTCCTCCGACGTGCTGGATGTTTGCTTATAATATCAATCACTATTTTGCTCTCTGCCCATGTGGACCAACATTTTACTGCAAGAACCAGTAACAGCAAAGCTGACCATGCAGGTAATATTCCCATGATCGGATGGGGAGTCCGGCTTAGAATCGTATAATAAGAGGCGACTAACGAGCCTCGGGTAGTCAGGTTCGTTATTTGGTTAATTGCGAGACATCGTACATGTCGGCGTGGGACGTTGTTCATACTTAAACCAATCGTTTATCTACATGTATTTATATCGGGGTACATGACACACAATTAACGAAGTCACTATACAAGCATGCCCACCCGGTCCATGGATTGTGGTGCCCGTGAAGACCCGGGGTAGAATAGGTCTTTTCAGCAATCCATGCTTGCCCTAAAAGGCGACTATGCTTCTCGTAAAAGGCAACTAACGGGATCGGGTGGTCTGGCTCACTGACTTGGTTGATGCATGTCATCGTATCCCAAATGCATGGATCGATGCTCATGATGTCTATCACTGGATTGTCCGTGTTGTCTGGTCCAGATTCGATTATTTACAGACCGCCGTCATATAGCTGGAATATTGCTCAGTGCGGCGTTAAACAACCAACCAACCAACCATCGATTGTCGCCTAACATGACAAGCGAAGCGGTGGGTATATTTTAAGCAATGCCCAACATAGACATATACAATGCACTGTCCATGGATCATCGTGATTTTAGGCTAGATATATAAATATATTATTTCGACTTGCTTCAATATATCTTTCCTTTATTTCAAATTGAAGCTGCCTGGTTCCTAAAACACTATGGAGTAACTATATACTCCTTTCTGTTAGGTCTGGTTTACCGGTGCATGCATGCATGAGGAGTCATATCCGTCTTACCGCTTATATCTGTTAGTTATACATTTATATTTATACATTTATTATAAATTTGCACAACAAACTTCTGAGCTTGCATTACCTGCATCATGTATATGTGATAGGGTTAAGTTAAGGAGGTATTTGAGGTTACCACTAACTTGTATATGTGGGTAGAATGCCATTCTGAAACAATCGTCAATATCCAGCTTGGATACTTCTTAGCATGTTTCAAAGCTTACATTGGTCTGCATCTACAGCATTCTGAAGTATGTATAATATAATACATCCGATACAAACCCTCTATCGTTATCTATCGTTCTGAGTGATGTATAGTTTATATCCGATATACAAACTCCCCCGCGTCTTTCATTTATAATGATGTATATAACATGTCTGACACCCCGCGTTTCATTCTGAGTAATGTATATTTTATGTCCGATGTACCTGTGTACTTTCCCGTAACTTTGTAAAGAGGAATGATAAAACACTTTCATCTTGTGTAATTTTCGCCTCAATCTTCTGGCAAACCATATACAATTAACCCATCGAACTAATTAAAAGAAGTGGAAAGAGCTTGTCTAAATGCAGAGGCAAGTGAAATAATTGTTTTGAAATTATATAAATATGATTTCTCACATCTACTCATGTGTGAATTACAAGGATTCCCTTCAGCACAGTTACATTAAATAAATTAATGAGGATACATGTTTTGCATTTCTATTCACATCGTGGGATTGGAGGAGAACGCACGTTAATTTGGGCCACAAACAACAGAATACGGAAAATTGTTTACAGTTACAAACAAAACAAAATCTAAATGGAATGCATAATGTGTCGAGGCTCTTTTATTTAACGGCCACAATCCGAAATATTTCAGAAACCCCTCAAGCACCGCCTTTACTTTTTTAATATGGACGATTCCATTCCATTCTATATACTATTGTGACCACAATGTGATGTAGAAACACATCCTTGATTTCAATTATTGATCTAATTATAACATAATTTGTTAAAAGAAATATCGCACAGACACTGACATTTGTGCATAAATGTGAATTGCACACAGAAAGGCGTGTGAATATTTGTCAAGTACTAAATAACAAAATAATAATAATACCTGAAGATGTTTCCAATTTATAGTGAAGAATTTAATGTGCGTTATTTATTTGGAATGGGACATGGAAATATACAGAAGATCATATTCAGTACGGTCCCACCCAAAATATAAACTAAATCATATTCCGCATATATATCGCCATGTGTTTTAGAGCTAACCGAAAGCATTACCGCAGTAAATGGGGTTTTGCGAAATTGTGGACTGTTTATCCCAGTTCTGGTCGTATCCCAGTTCTGGTCGCTACAGACGTCAAATACTTACAACCATATGCTTTTACGTACAGTCTGGTCCATTCTCGATTATTTATAGACCGCCGTCATGTAGCTGGAATATTGCCGTGCGGCGGTAAACAAGAAACATTTGAGTCGATTCTTACCACAAGTATGGGGAGCTTATACTGCCGAATCCACAACGTAAGAGGCGACTTATTGGATCTGATGGTCAGACTTGGTGGCTTGGTTGATAGGGTGTCAAAGTGCCCTCGGTGTGAATCGTTGCCCATGGTATCAATCACTGGTTTGTCTGGCCCCGATACAACTATTTACAAGCCGTAAAGTGCGGCGTTTATAAATGCTTTGAAGAAAAGGATGAACTTGATTAAATTATTTTTTATTCATAAATCATACATAAATCGAAGATGATTCAATTATGGCCAAGAATTGTCCACGAATTTACACTGTACTCTATATGGCGAACAAAATATGTCATTCCTCAAGCCAGTTGGTCTCCCCTCCTTATACATTCGAGTGAGAATTTCTTCTCGGATTGGCAAAATCAAAAAGGAATTTGGTTAAGAAATTTAACTTAAGCTTCAGCTCACACAGTTCAATAACAGTCGAATAGCCAATTCCCTTCCACTGATTTACCCACCTGAACTAGAAATATAAGAGACAAGGGCGAGAGCGGCTCATCTGTTCTGTTTTATATTTAGATCTCCGCATAAAGGATCATAATGAGAAAAAATATCCACAAGAGGGATGACTGCGACCTTCCCAATTGTCAACTTTCCCTTTATCCTGAGCAATAGTCCAGCTACACTAGCCTCTGGCGTCTACATTTGACAACTTTTGAGGTATAGTCGAGAATGCTCTTTCTACCAAGATTTCAAAGAATGTTATACGACTCTTGCTCAACATGGTTTCATCAAGATTACAACAGTCAGGCCTTAGTAAAACTTTCAAAAGGTTTTATTGTAGACATGTGGAGGACATTTTCAAATTTGACGCATCAGTGACAATACTGATGTCCGATGCAAAATCCCTATTTCGACTTTCGCCATATCATCCCTTTTTCTGGTGAACACTTGACTTGCCTTTGCATGTGTGTGACAATGTTGCAAATTGAGGCAGGATACCTTTTCGGTAACACTGGGTATCATCACCATTTTAGGAGCGATTTTAAGATCGTCACTATATTTACTATATTTACAAAATAGGTGACATGAATATTTTAAACCAATTGTGAAAGTTTTAAATCTAAATTAATGACAAAAGGACAGCATCAACCTTAGTATTTTGCTAAGAAGTAGTTCAAATGAGTCATAATTACGCAATTATTCAAAAGAAAATCAATTATATAGATTTCGACAAAGCATATCAGTGTGATATTATGACAATGGCACTATATACTCCATTCACTACAAAAACGGAAGGAATCAATTATTGGATATTGATATATATGTATATGTATATATATATATATATATATATATATATATATATATATATATATATATATATATATATATAAAACAAGCCAATGGCGTCCACTGTGTAACTGTACATTGTTTGTGCATTGTTTCCAAGCAGTATGTTCCGTAACAATGCTTGTCCGTCTGATTGCAGGCGTATTCATCTGAAGTCGTGGTGCAAGAGGACATCTATGTACAGTCTAGGAACACAATAGCACGCCGTGGACCTCGGGAATTCCATCTGAAAATGAAAATGCAGAACATTTTCATAGAACGAAAAAGGTTTTCAAATCTTAGAACAAATTATGTTCTAATTACATTATACATTGGCAATCGTTATTTCAAGTCCCGTTATCTCACAATTTCGCTTTATAAATTTCTAAACATAACCTGCAATCGCAACATCCCATTTTCTCTATATCTCTACATCTGACACTCTATATGGCTGAAATAATGGCGATTCGACGTTATAGTTTAACTCACTCACTCTTTCATATTAAGCATAAGGCTTAAGATAGATTTCGAAGTGACGGGAGTCGCCCGGATTTAATTATTTGTGTATGTTGATATCGTATTTTCTTTTGTTACCGTGTCAATATAGCTAGGTATTTCCCTCTACAAATTAGCCGTAATACTTCTTAAGAAAAGCACGTTGACAAGCACACATGTTCATATTTAAATTACACTTACGCTGTTCCTGGATCGGGTAGGGGACGTGGTGATGATTCAAGAGAGCGGCTGGGGATTTCCAGAAGGACAGGCGAAGGAACAACATCCCCCAAGAAATGGACGTCATCAACCAGAACCAGTACCACGTGTCAACTGTGGGGGAGAGGGTGTGGCTGTGGCATACCGGGGCACCGGTAGCTACCCCAGCACTCAACACCAAGGTGACACGGTCTCCACTCTCCAATGAATCTGTAAAAAATGAAATATTAGTTAATAACTCTACCAGAGATTTAACTGATTGTATATTAATATCCAACTGCCGGCTAACTACTACGTGACTCTAACCGATACTAGTACATGTATATTACTGGACTGGCAGTCTTGATGACATCCTGATTGGGGCTATATTCTACAGGATATATCGCTTTCGCCTAATATGGAGGCAGATTTCTCAGTCTGGGTTAAATGAGGGAGTGAATATCGCTTTAAGCACATCAACAATTTGCGTCTCCCAGTTAAAGTGGTGTGAGCACATGGATAATGGTTTGGTGTTCGCGTATGGGAGGTTTCATTCACAATATCATGGGTTTCGGATCGGATCCCTCGAAACAGGATTGTATGGAAGATAGGATAAACCTTACAAAGTACGCAGGAGTATTGTCACTCTTTCTTGTCTCAATTATATATCATACAGGATTCAGGCATAGATCTTTTTGGCAGCATATTAGGCAAACGGGGTGAGGTGAAATGGGGTTTATTATCACATTCAAGATTATTGCACTCATATAGCGACGTTCATGCACCTGTGTGTCGCTATTTGTTCTATATTGGACGAATGTTGGTTTTATAGTGCTAGCCGCCCACTAACATACCATGCCGCAGTTTAACATGGATACTCCACACAGACACAATATACTCGCTCCTCCTCACCAGTGCTTATTCTAGCCCCTAAAATCAGGGGTGGAAATTAGCATTAATCTGACCGGACCAGTTTTGTTAATGTTAAAGGTATCCCAAGGGTTAGTAATAAAATTTCAAACATTTGGGGGGTATTGCTATACGTTATCACTGTTCGGACTAGTAGAAACACGCGAAGATCCACTGTAGAATAGGTCTTCAGCAACCTATGCTTGCCGTACAAGGCGACTATGATTGTCGTAAAAGGCGACTATGCTTGTCGTAAAAGGCGACTATGATTGTCGTAAAAGGCGACTAACGGGATCATGTATGTCATCGTATCCAACAAATTCAACTTATCGATTAAACTGTTACCGATTCTTCACTAAAGCTAAGTACATTTGACGCCTTATAGGACCATGAGTAATTCCCAAATGATCACAAACAATATAAGATGGCCGCTCACCAGGTAAGCTAAACAAAAGGTAACTTACCACAGGAGAGAATTATCCTAACTTCGTCAGTGGACACAACAGTACCCAGTACAGTACAGTAACGGTGATGGATACTGTCACAGCCATTGGAACTGCAACAGCTGTAGATATGACACAGTAGACAGAGAATCATCAAACATAACCTGCTCATCGTGATATACATTACACGTACACTGCACAACTACTACTGCTACTACAGTACACGTTGATTTATATGACACGAAATACCAACCAGGAATATTCTCATATCTCAACAGGCTCTGTTGTCGGATCGGATCGGATCGGATCGGATCGGATTATGTGGCACTATCTCGACGTCAAATACTTACAACCATATGTTTTTACGTACAGTCTGGTCCATTCTCGATTATTTATAGACCGCCGTCATGAAGCTGGAATATTGCTGAGTGCGGCGGTAAACTACAAACATTTGAGTTGATTCTTACCACAGGTATGGGGAGCTTATACTGCCGAATCCACAACGTAAGAGGCGACTTATTGGATCTGATGGTCAGGCTTGGTGGCTTGGTTGATAGGGTGTCAAAGAACCCTCGGTGTGAATCGTTTTTCATGGTACACGTACACTGCACAACTACTACTGCTACTCCAGTACACATTGATTTGTGACATTGAAATACCAACCAAGAATGTTCTCATATCTCAACAGGCTCTGTTGTCGGATCGGATCGGATCGGGTCGGATTATGTGACACTATCTCGACGTCAAATACTTACAACCATATGCTATTACGTACAGTGAGTCTTTTATATACTATATTTTTTCCGTTTTAACAAGGTGAATGAATATGCTAATTATGGTAGATGCTAATTAGTTAAACATCAGCAGTCGACCTTTTTTCGCACGGTGTAATTATATCGCTGCAAAGTGCTGACAATAACTTTTAAGATCGGTTATTGGCATATAGCCAAAATGCACTATGCATTCAACAGTGGGGAGTTTTTGTCTTGTCTTAGTCCTGCAGAGAAATGAATATTTTACCCCAACCCAGAATTAAGGGATAAAGTTTTTTTATTGCTGGATTTGTTTAATGATGTACTCTGGATTATGAAACTGACTGATGACACTCTGTCATCTTTGGGCATTCTGAAATATTCAAGATGCCCACCGAAGCATTAAAATATCACTACTTTGCTAATAGTATTGGATATGGAACTACGTTTGGTGCATATCACTAATATTTTGCCTTCAACTAATTAGAATTTGTCATTCTAAATAAACTGGTATCATTTAATACATAATTTGATTCTTAAATAAGCAAGATAATTGACAAAATGGCTCCCGAAATATTATAAAAATCAACAAATACGTGATTATTTTAGGATTACTGATTATTCTGAACTTTCAAAGATGAATATTGGCTTAAGGATTTCTTCACATACATGCAGTCAGTAGTAGGTTTCTTCCTCCTCATCAATAACACGGTTAGTGAGTGGGTTGAAGCATACACTGGAGCTACAGGAGCAGGAAACTGTGCAAGGTAACTGGGCGTGACTGCAGCAAAATTGATTTGTCCTACACGGTGGATCACTGCCACATGTGCACTTCACAAGTTTCAAAATATATTTTGGTGTTAGATATGTATAATACAAAAACACTTTCAGGTACAGTAACTGGAAGTAGGCACTTTGATGTAATGTCTTAATGGAAATCAAACTGGGCTGGAACCATCGCAGTTGGATCTGGCTGTAACACAGCCTTCCACACACTGGTTTGGCCCGCTTCACGTTTCCCCAAAAGGCTTCATCTGTTGGCGGTAAAGTAGAGAGCTTGGGAATTTGAGAACAGCCTCTTCCAGGTTTGGTAGCCCAAACTTGTAAGCGAGCTTCTGTGATTTGCCATGAAGTGAGCTTCTTGTAACGAGATTGCGAGTAAATCTGCTGTAGGATCTCCAAACAGTGACCATCTTTTAATACCTTAAACACTTTTCCTTTACCAATCTCAAAACACGATGATGTTGTATCACAACCACCGCAATGCATGTGCTGCAAGTAGGTCTAAAACTATAGGTTCGTTTTCGGAAGAGAAGCTGCAATGTCCATGAATACCTGTACCTGGATATTCTGCAAGTAGTAGAAAGTAACAGGAGGAGTTGCATAGAAGTTACATAGGAATAACATATTCTAATATGTTGAAGGCAAAACAATAGTGATATGCATCAACAGTTGTCGGATATTCCATACCATTAGCACGGAAGAGATATTTTCATGTTTTAGCGGCCATGTTTAATATTTTAAAATGCCCAAAGATGACAGAGTGTCATCAGTCAGATTCATAACCTAGAATGAGTGCTTACACAAATCCCGCAATAAAAAAACCTTGATCCCCCAATTCTAGGTTTTTGTCCTCTCTGCCGGACTATCTTGGTTGAACAAATCGGCTGCTTTGCAAACTAAGTTTCTATAATGGTATGTTTCATGACCAGAACGGTGAAGGGACTGATGAAAATCTCCGAGTCTTTGGGTGAAAACAGAAATTATTTTGTGGAAACGGATTTCAAACGTAAAGAAAATAAAGTTTTACAAAATGACCAGACAATTGACAATAATTAACGATAAGTTGAACATTTGTTCATGAACCTGAGACGGATTCACTGGCCAATCCCAATGACAAGAGCAAAGGCTACAAAATCAGGTCGTCCAGCTGTCTAAGGTGGATATGCAGACAAAAGAGTCGAACATTTTCTTCCTATGTCCAGGCTCTCTGGAATGCTATTTGACTGTAAGGTGAAGAATCTGGGAATGGTACGAGACCTGCAGCTGGGTATAAACCACCATGGGGCCAGGGTGTGACAAACACCTCATTTTATATTCTGCAAGACCAGGGCCCACTTGCACAAAGCGATCTTAGCGCTAAGACTATCGTAACCCCATGTTAAAGTATGGGAGTTACGATCATCTTAGCACTGAGATCGATTTGTGCAAGTGGGCCCAGATATAAATTTAATTAAAACTATTAATCTAAATATCCAGGAACAATATATTTCTTTGTGCCAGGCAATTTCTTTTTTTCAACAGACTGAAGCATATTTATCTTTTCAAGTATTCACTGCTACTGTTTTGATGATGGATTCCGGGATAGAATTTGTCCCCAAAAATTGAAGTCAAAGCACAGGTGAGATTTGTCAGTTGTTCCGAAGCTGTATAATAAGAATATTAGGCATGTTTCTCATTGTATGTCATGTTATAAGTCATCAATGTGTACCGTTATGTGGTGTCCCACTAGGCACTATTATTCCCTGTGGTGCGGATCAGTGTGCTGTATTATCTTCATGTGCCCTTGCAGAACAGCTTGAAAGCAATACACATTCTGTTGTGTTATGGCAGACAACAGTAAATATATGTTGTCAATGTAAGTGAATATCCCCCGAAACATTTTGCATTTGGCGTAAAGGGCAAACTAGCTGTGAAAATTATGTGAATGGACCACAGAAAATCAGTGATGACACCAGGTGTTCGTGAAAAGGGTAAGGATATAGAAACTATACTCACTTTATAAATGTTGATCTTGAATAGTGTTTAAATTTTGATTTCCAAATTGAAAAGCGAAGGTTAAACCAGAAATCGGTACGTACAGAAGTTGAGTGTACAATTGGTAATAACCGCACACGATCAATGAATAATTAGCAAAGGATTGTGGCAGTTACAGCAGTCGCTTCGTGGAACTCTTGCCCTTGCCCCCTCTACACGCAGCCCAGACAGCGAATGGGACTTCTCCCAGGAAGCGCTGTCTAGTCAAACCCACCCAGAACCTTTCGGAGAATGTGAAGACTCCCCAACACTGCAGCCTTCTGCATTACCCAGATTGTCAGCAGGGCTGTATTCCTGGGTACTCTCCCAATGTCAGTCAACAGATTGGGAGGTACCGAACCTAAGGCACCGAGAACAATGGGGAGTCGGACAACTTGGTACTTGGAATGCAAGCGATACATTTCGAAAGCGAGGTCCGCATATTTGCCATGTTTTTCCTCAATCTTGTCAATCACATTAATGTCAAAAGGGACAGAAAATTCAAAGATATAAATGATTTCATTGGATTTATCAAAAATGACAAGATCAGGTTTGTTGGCCTGGATACGTCTGGGGCTGTAAATGGGCCTATTCCAAAGAATTTTGTATTTATCATTTTCCATGACGCCCTCTACATATTCTAGGTCGCACTATGGGTGGACCTCTGTGTCAACACCACAAGCATGGCGAAGATGGTAATAAACTGATGGAGCTACACCATCATGTCGTCTAAGATTCTGTGTTTGTGCCAAAGCTGGGCAACCACTGACAATGTGTTTGACAGTCTCATTATATTCATTACATAATCAACATTACATATTTACATTTTGATGCCAATCACACATTGACGGTTTCGTGTGGAAAGTAACTGGTCCTGAGCAGCAAACAGAAAGCCTTCTGTTTCACTTTTCAGGCCAGACGACTTCATCCAAGCAAGGGACTCTGCAGGATTGCTGATCTTCTCAACACACTGCACATAAAGTCGTCGAGTGGTCGTTCAGATAGCCTCTCCTTTAAAAACTGAGTCTGGGCCGACTTGATATGGCACTTCGCTTGGTTTACACTCATTTCTGTACCGTCCAGCAGTACCAAACCATCAACAAAATCAACACCGACATTGAGATTATGTCCCACATACTTGGCTCGTTTTAGAAAACTGTGGAATGCCTTGTTTTCATCATGCGTCTTGACATGCTTCACAAGAGGATCATCAGACAAATAAATGTGTGCAAAAGTGCACAAGACATTCTATCATGTAGAGCCCAAACGTTAATCAAACAACGTCCTCCCATCATAATTGGTAAATATAAGCGATTGAGGGAAGAGCGAGGGTGATGGGATCTACTGTCTGACCTGATTCTTCGTGTGAGGGTATCATTGTTGTGTTGTTATTATTATTATTATTGACAATACCCTGAATTTCTTGTTATTGTTATCATTATTATTATTGTTGTTAATGTTTTTAAGAGATTAAAATTAAAAAAATGTTGTTTAGAGTTTTGCATTTAACAGGGTTTGTTGTTTTCATTTTCATGCAGGGCACGTGTGTATTTGGGAGTTAATTGTATGCAGTGAATGAATCCGACGTAGGCCTGGTCACCAAGCACTGAATGGGTACCCAGTAGGATTAGATGGTGATGTGGCTGTACGCAATAACCTTCCTGCCTCACTGGCAGTTTGAGTTGTATACTCCCCAGGGAGGTTTGAATGAAACTGTTGTGCACGCTGATCCTTTGGACCGGGTAATATTAATGCGATTTGGGCATTCTTTAGGTTGTCGATTTGTCGCATTATAAACATACACATTATATCCCCTACACAATATTTTCGGAATACTAATGAGAGATACATCAAAACATTAAAACATTATTACATGAAATTAGACAAGATTGTAAATACTCGATGACAGAAATTATTTTATTTATTATTTGATCTTTATGTGAAACAAGGTTCGTTGTGTAGGGCAACAAGTGAAAACATATTGCATAACTATTGTACTCAAATCGTTAGAGAATATGTGACTCAAATCAGATACTGCTTACACACTAAACATACTCATTTTACTTCAGAGGAAATGAAAGCATCATGCTGAACCTTATTATTTTCAGGAAAGTTGTAATATAATGAAATAAGTGAAATATCATCATTCTTTACCACGGAAAAACTGTAACAGTTTAAATCACACTTAGTTCATTTGCAGTTATGCATGAATGAAGAATGTCCTTGCTTCCGATTCCTTCAAGCTGGAAGATTCGATCAATATTTTGTATAATTGGAGCTGTGTTTTCATATCAACAGTAAATTAAAGAAGTAACTATCTTGGCTACACATAACTGTTGATATCTTTAAACTTGATATCTATGTAAATGGGAAATACCTCCAGCATGTTTGAATGTTTTGGTTGATTGATATGGTAATTCTTTACATGATGTCTCAATACTAAATCCGTTTAAATCTCTTAAATTTGAATACATTTACTAAGATACACTATCGTTGCAATATCGCTTTAGCGTATTGAATAAACTGAAATCAACACGTTTGAATATTTGAGCACACTACTACCTGTGAGTAAGTCAATGTCTGCTTATATCAAGTATAACAACCAGAAAAGGCGGAAATATGTCCAGTACTTTCTGATGTCATTTCCGCATGTGTTGTGGACAGCCCAGCATGGCTGCTTCCTCATGTTGTGCATTCGTCACCACTCGCCCCTTTCCGTAACGCTATTCGGCTTGTCCCGGAATAACACGAGTTCTTCACGAATGCATGTTTTGCTGTAAGTTAATTCTGGGCAAGTTAAATCGTTAGTTTTAAGCCGTTTATATTCTAGATATAATACCATTTTCAGATTCTACTGTTTGGACATTTTTATTTCAATCGAAACAAGGATTTCAACTAAACTGAATAACAAAGAACAGTTAGAGGTCAGGTTAAACTGTATATATTCAATATATTGACGCATACTGGCAAAAGCCTTTGTGCAAAGATAACGTTGTATGGTAGCAAGCGGTCCAATATGGGACACAGAAGTCACGGGAGATACTGGAGCCATATTATAAACACAGGCCCATTGGTATCGTAACTTAGTGCGTCCCCTGACGATCAGCTGGGGTCTTCTTTGTTGTCTAGAAACGAACTCCTGTTAATATGACGATCTTCTTGCAGATCATCAGCATCTAAATGGGCCAGCCACCGCTCAACCCCCTGTCCTGGTTTCTCAGCTGCACTATTAATCTTTATATCTGAAAAACAGAAAGCAAATTTTCAAATTTTCCTTTAGAGAGAGAAAGAGAAAGGGTTAGAGAGAGAGAGAGAGAGAGAGAGAGAGAGAGAGAGAGAGAGAGAGAGAGAGAGAGAGAGAGAGAGAGGCCATAAGATATGTAATTAGTGCCATGTGTGGATGTTGCTCCTATTCATACAGCGTATCCCGTCATTGCAAGATTAATCTATGTCATAACACATGCGTCAGCCGGTTAACAGTGGGTTTTAACGATTTGAATGAAACTTGCTTGGACCTCAAACTGGTCAGACCCCAATCTCCCTTTAACATCCCTTTTACATTCTTCCTTATATGGTGATTGAGGGCTAAAGTGTATCCACATCATTCTCAACGTGCAGGGCAACAACGACAACGTGTCGCTATATTTAGACGATGGTATAATTGTGTCATGTTACATAGTGTATTCAGAGATAAGGATTTCCGCTGAGAACCTGCACAGAGGCATGTCACGGACGTTTCACATAGACAAATAAGTGGGTTCAGGGCAACCCGGGCAGTGTCACTGATAACGGCAGGGGAGTGCAGAAACAAACATGTCCATGCATGAAGGGACAGTTTAATAGGCCATATGCAATTTCATTAGAAATGAACCATTTTTATAGGGGTGTGCCAATCATTAAATAATACTGAAACATCAAACTGTTAATTTTTAACATGACATAAAAATATCTCAGCATAATTTCTGCTGGGAAGAATCAAGGTAATTCCGCTCAGTCTCTGTACTATCCTTTAATACAAGTCTTGCGACATAGTTTGTAAAAACAGAACGATACATTAAGGTTAGCGTGAGGGTTTGGGACCTACACGGTGTTCCTTTGTAGATGGGCTGTATGAACGCATCTGAAGCATCTTCCCTAACACCACTTCGACGTTGTTTACAACAGAACCGGATGGTGATCAGGGAAAACATGGCAAGTGAGAAGATCCCCAAGACGACAGACACCGCCCACAGCAGCTCGACGACAGGGAAGCTGGCTTTGTTTGCATCTGGCTTGGAGAAATCTAGAAGATAAAACAATATCTAGAATTGCAGCGAAAAAAATATTGGTTTACATAGTATATAAAAATATAAACGCCAACGTCTCCGAAACAGATTCCATTGGGCGTAAAAGGAAAAATAGCGGTGAAAAATTCAGTGATGACACCGGGTGGTCGCGAAAAAGGGTAAGAATAAGCTTGTCGACAGTGTCTAGGTTTGACACTTTTCACTTATCACAACGTCTAAACAAGGATTATAAATGGGCACCAGATCGTCATCTGGCACCATGTACCCTTTAAGGTGTAAAATGACTGCTACATGAAAGGAGATGGGAAGATGAGCGTTACAACGACTTCCAGCTAATATTTAAAATTGTATCTCGTCAGGATTGGTTCTGTACTTGGACGCTTTTAACATTATTCCAGTTATATCACGGCGTGTCGGCTTAATGTGGGAGGAAAAACATAGACAAACATAGAAACATAATCGGAGCGAACCGAGATTCGAACCCACAATCATAGGTTTCTGGCGCGCCCAAGGGACGCAACTCTGCACAGCGAATCGCGGCGCCTTTTAGACGACTGGGTCACCCGTGCCCCCGTTCTTGGGTGAAATAAGAACCAACGAACGCCTTGTACAAATAGTGACGACATGAGAGGACAAACACACCCATCCTTCCTGCCGTCTGTACTTTAACCCTATCTGTAGTTCTATACTAACAGCGCTGTTCGGCACTACTTTCGGCCAGTATAATTTTATAAAATGTTACTGCTTTTTACCTGTTACATGCAATATTGTAAATCTGGTTTACACTGATGTGAGCTAGACCTTGTACATCTCGAAACATACATTACCTGGACACTTCTCTGCGCATGCGTCATCTGTTTCTTGGTCTGTAATACAGATGTCCGCGCAAGGCTCACATCGTAATATGACTGTGTCCAAATATGTATCAGGGGGACATAACTCTGCGTGATCCTTCACATTCACAGTTTTCTCCTCTTCGTGTCCTTGGACGATGAAACCTGTATTAGAAGAAGCAGTTGTCTGAGGAACTATCGCCATGCCTTCACCACAACAGATATGAGTACAAAGCCAAAGTCACTATTACCCACGAGCCCGGGTATGGTGCTGACAAACTCAGAAAAATATTTGGGGCGAACTGGGATTCGAACCCACAATCATTGGTTTCTGTCGTGAAGGAATTGTGGTGCATGAGATAACATGGACACCCGTGCCTTGCCTTAAGGATGGCAGGGTCAGGCAGGGTCTTGGTAGACTGCATGTCACTTCGGCCCAATGACGTTCACTGTTTCTCATTCTTTCAGACCAAGATTTGTCCTGTCCAGACTCGATTATTAACAGGACGCCGTGATATAGCTGGAATATCGCTGACTGCGTCGTTAAACAACATTCTCTCATTTCACTTTGTATCGCATCAAACAAAACGCTTGAGGTCCGTTCTCTGCATCTCGCCAAGTTATTATTCTGATGATATCAGCTCACCATATCTTAACCTTCCTCTCTAAGGATGCTATATTCACAAGACAATTTTAATGTTAATGTTATCGTGGACAGAGACAAAAGCGTACATTTGAGATATGGATAGCCGAGAGGGCATCAAGTGGTGCAGCAGGTCTTGTCTTGACCTTTGAATACCATCACGGCTCTCAGACTACCTACAACTGAGTTAGTGTGACGCGAAAGAGAGGGGAGTTGACTAACTTACCTGGACAATGTCGGAGGCACATGTCTGTCGTCAGCTGTATGGCAGCGTGTTCACATATTAGTTCACAGTGTTCACACGCGCCTGTCCCTTCGTCAAGGTACTGACCAGGTGGACAAAGCCTTTGAACCGGGATAGCTAGGCCTGACTCAACCAACAACACTGTATACACAATCAGGGTTATCATGGTGTAATAACGAACGTTCAACTCGAAACACTGCTGTATCCCGCACACTATCCTTGGTCAATTCTCAGTAGTTGAGGCCAGTGTTTAAGCATGTATACGTCACGGCAAGCAGTCAATACTTCACCCGACCGCCAAATATTTCCCTCAAAAATCCTTTGTCAAAACGAAAGTAGCTGCGTATTTTCCATTAAGCTATTTATAGTTACACGGCATCTGGAATACCCAATGAGTCACATTTCCTTTAGACTCGATTCATTTCCGTCATTCATCCGCTGATAACCCACAAAGCGTCGGTTTTCCATATACAAAGGTCCGGTACTGCTTTTTGTATAGTGTTAAAGTGTGGATCGCAGCAGCCTATACGTGTGAGTAAAACCTTGCAACTGCATGTATATAGCACCTGGTATTAAGGAGCCCTAATTTATTCCTTATTTATTTCAACTATTACTTCAACATAACCATATCTTAAATTGACTTATACAAGTCCTGAATCTTACATAAAATTTAAAATACTGACCCATGTTATAAGACCAGATTTGCTTGCCTACGAAAGCAAATTTATCGCCAAATCTAAAATGATGGTTGTTGATATACGTTATATTGTAACGGACATTTCCCAGCTGTTTGTGTGAAACTACACATTTATCCACTCTCATATTTGACAGCTACTCTACACACTAAGTATGTGATCCGTTCATGCGTATAGCGATTATCATCTTTGGATGAGACAAATCTGGTTTAAAAGATACAACGAATAAAATTGATAAAATAGAAAAACACAATTTGAATCTGGCCGTAAAGTTCGTGAAGCATGAACACTTGAAATCCTTTAGTAGGTCACCCTAGACTTACATCTAGTCTCTTAAATGGACATCTTTTTTATAGAAAAAACATGGTTTTCGAATTATACACTGTAGTTATAACATATAATAAAATGATTTTTCATTTCCTGATACTGAAGTAATCTAGACTTTCCAAAGATCATAGACTCGCGTGGGCTTTATTGATATATTTGTTTCAGGGCCTGTAGGACAGACTAAGGGCACACGTGTCTAGCATTAAAGCAGTAAATCGTCAGTATTTTCCCAAACGTCGATATATGTCAACAGATTTTATTGAAGTTTTCCAAAGTGATAGTTTAATATAGGGGTAGCCTCGTATCATTGTGAGAGATTGTATTTTGTGTCTGGGGAAAAACGTAATAGAATTGTTTATCATTACATCTTTAATTAATTATCATTGTACCACCAACACCCCACCCCACCCACCAACCCCCATGTCGTGTAAATCGTGTTGTCAATCACATTAATGGTTTTACCCACACCCGTTAGGTGATGTCAGGTTACTTCTTTTAGTAATGACGAATACACGACCTTAACTTGAGCCTCTGAAAATAACCACACGTCAGCTATTCAGAAACATGTACATGTATGTAGGAACTTGCGATCAGTGTGTGTGTGTGTGAGAGAGAGAGAGTGTGTGTGTGTGTGAGAGTGACTGAGTGAGTGTGTGTGTGTGTGAGAGTGAGTGAGTTTGTGTGTGTGTGTGAGTGACTGAGTGTGTGTGTGTGTGTCTCTGTGTGTGTGAGAGAGAGAGACAGGGTGTGTGTGAGTGGCTGAGTGTGAGTGGCTGAGTGTGTGTGTGTGTGTGTGTGTGTGTGTGTGTGTGTGTCTTAGCTTTATCCAATTTCAGACAGTATATTTCTTTTTAATTTTCCCATATTGGAAATAGTTTTGTCGCATATCCCCAAGAACAGAATAACGCTTAGCGAATAGTCTCGGGAAATATTATTTTGATGGGAAACAATAACTCCATTTAAATTGAAAAGGTGAGAGGGGGCATTCATGCCTGAAATGCAGAAAATCTAGATTTGCTTCCTTTAGGGCTACCTCAAGGTCATAGCCTGAATACGTACAACTGATATTGAAGGTCAAATTCACTCCGAATGTCAAAAAATGTAAAATGTCAACAACAATTTGGCACATAATCATAAGCACAAGGATGGGGCATTGCAGGGTTCAGGTTTTCATGGGCCTTCAAGGCCACTGGTATTGTCATTCTCAAGGCAGTTCTGCATTTTTGGACATACATACATACATACATACATACATACATACATACATACATACATACATACATACACTACAAAGTTCAGGGACTGAGAGAATGACTACCTCAAGGCCATAGCCTGAAATTCTTACAACCGATATTCAATATTCAATTCACTCTCAGTGTCCTAAAATGTATATTGTCAACAATAATTTAAGAAGTGTCTAGAAAACGTGTCAGTTTCAGTTTCATTAAGTTTAACGCCGCACTCAGCAATATTCCAGCTATATGACGGCGGTCTGTAAATAATCGAGTCTGGACAAGACAATCCAGTGATTTATATCATGAGCATCGATCCAAGCAATTCGGATACGATGACATGCATCAACAAAGTCAGCGAGCCTGACCACCCGATCCCGTAAGTCGCCTCTAACGACAAGTATAGTCGCCTTTTACGGCAAGCATGGGTTGCTGAAGACCTGTTCTACCCCGGATCTTCACGGGTCTGAAACCTTTCTACTTTATGACACGTTACTATTGCTGAGTTAAACGGCGTTTACAGACAAACTAATACAGTGTAGATTTTGTATTTTACAGCGGGCGGTCGTGATCATGAAACATAGGTGTATGTTTACGTACTTTCATTACTGTTACAAAACAACACGACTATATCCGTCATACATGGAAAACATGTTTTATTCTTTGTCAATACTGAAACATAGTGGTCCTGAACCTGATCTTACATCACTAGCGAAGAGTGTAACACTCGGTAAATTATAAAATCTGTAACATGTGTTACCATTGTGAACTATGGCATAATAGTTGGGCGTATATGGTCCGTGATCTATGCCATGAGTGTTTTCCACTAAAACTCGACCAACATGCAAACAGTAAGGTTAACAAATACATGGTTATTTATTATGCTGTTGAATGCATTCGTGAATAATTGAAAATGCGATTTTCCAGTCTGATACAACAATAAAAAAAAATTACTTTTATTATGTATACAACACTTATACAGTCATAAAACACTATTAATAGATACATTCTCCCATATACTGATAGTACAACTGATTTTGGCTTCAACTGATCCTTTACTGATATAGGTAAAATAGATTAACCCTAGCAAAGACATTGCCCTATAGTGCATATGTAAGTGTTGTTGTAAAAAAACAAAATCTGCACTTAATTGTGACTGTGCGTTCACCTGCTTGGCTAGTGCTTCCGGTTTCTCATTATCAGTCTGTACACTGGATAAACAGTATCAAAACAGTACACTATAATATGAGGTAGGTTGGAAGATGTCATACATGACATTATTTTGAAGAGTACCCGCATGTACTTTGTGGAGGTAGACCGTTTAAACAACAGCGTTTAATTGTATCCAAATTATCATTTATTTGTAACAACGTGACCCCAGTATATGACTTCAGGGACATGTTGTTGAATAAGGTTAACGGTACCCTATCCAAAATCTTTTAAAACGTACACATCGTGAGGAACCTGTGATTTGTACATGAATATGTCTTGATTTCTTGTTTGTATGTTAAGGCACATTTCTGCTTTGAATATGTCGACAGTATGCATTCCATGTGATTCGAAACGCTGCGAATCTTTCGATGAGTCGATGAGATCACGGAGGGCAAACAAAAATATTTTGAAAGAATATCATAACAGGCCAATATGTCAATGTCATCCACAAACAGGGTAAAGGTAAAAGCGGCGTAAAACCAAAGTTTAACTCGTTCACTCAGCCATACACAAACTCGAAATTGGCCTGGTCATCATTAACGTCGTGAGAACGTTTTATACCGGCAAACGGATCGCAGTCACATGGAGCAGCAACCATCCTCTGCTCCATCCTCTCCCGTTGCACTGCAATGTCCATCTGTCCTTGTCGTCCAGTCCATCCACACATCTTCACGTACACCGACATCGCAATTCCCACCACGAGCCTTGGACCACAATATATATAAATGTGGTGTATCAGTTGTTGGAGTCGACCTCTGATGTTCCTGTTTCGTATGTGTCGTTGTCCATCCAACTTTATAATAAGGTAGAGAAAGAGGAAGAGCATTGAGGTTGTGGCTACCAGTAATTCTACCACCGGCAGAGTTGCCTGACGCAGTATGCCAAGGCGAAGGGCCACGGGAAGATCTGAATAAAAATAGAATACTACAGAGGAAGTGAGTACAATGACTGTCGTGACATTATTGTTATATCATCGTGATCAAGTATTAATATTCACAGTTTTGGCAAGTGAGTAAAATTTGGCTAAGCCATTCATAAAACATCCCAAGAAATACATACACTTCATAAAACATCCCAAGAAATACATACACTTCTTATATTATATGATTTATATGACGAAATTGTCAAAATTCCATGACAATTAATAACACAGTCCTACAGTTATAATGTTGCATGTATGTCTCTCATACCTTGATTTGAAATGCTGGGGACACTGTAAATTGCCCGAGTGACCGCAAAGACAGAATATGTAAATAACCGATGACATGATCCTTCCTGAATAGATCTGAGACACACCACACAGGCTGCACCACTACCTAGAAAGAACAATGTTGTTGTAACTTAGAGAACAAGCTGATTTCCGGAGGGGGGGGGGGGGGGGGGGGGGGGGGGGTAATTAAAACATATATTCAAACCCTGTGTTCTGAAAAAAATACATATACCTCGCATTGAAGGAAAGAAAATAATGTGCAAACTATATTAAAGTGCAACCTCCCCCGTCCCCACCCCAGCCCACTCAACCATCCCCATATCCAATGAAAATAAAATGGTTATTCTCTTCATGTGAATCATTAACAACTGCTTTGTCTTTAGGTGACGATTTAATGGAGCTCTGATATCCTCAACTTTGTCAAAGTCTTCCCTTAATATTGATGACAAATATTTGTCATCACTCGTTGCATTAAGCGATTCCTACGCATAAACAACTTGAATTGCTATACTATTAACCTACATTGTATATACTTCGACATGAAAATGTAGTGAACAGCATTAGACATTTTGTTAGTTGTAGCATATATCTTATGATTATCGTCGCTTATTGGCAATGCGACTTAAAACTATAATTTACTTCATTGTTCCGAACGAGTTTGGATTTGTTCTGAATTACATTGTGTGATCTATAAGTCACTATAGATTATTAAAAGTAACGTTTTCCTGAGTATATCTGCTTTCCTTACCTAGCCATGTACACAGCCATGGTATATGTACTGGAACTGGGCACTGCTGCAGTTCCCGCCAGTATGCGTTGTCGTCTGTCCCACACACGTCTGCTGCTCCTTGTGGTTCGACCAAGCTACACATTGGAAGTCTGGGCTCTAGTGGTAAACTTATACCTGTAGGGGGTTATGCACAAACACCTCATCAGTAATCATGCGACCTAGTTTGCATTAGGGACTGGGACATTTTATACCGTCTAACGCTGATTTACCGCTGCACGACTTAATTGCTACTTTTCTTTCAAAATACGGTACAACTTATTGCAAGTAAAACTATTTCGCCATTTTGCCTTTTTTTGGGTGACAATTTCGAACATGGAATAGGACATGGTTCTTTGAATATGCAGATCATGCTTTGACGATTACAAGTGGTTTGTAAAGCAAACTGGTAAAGGTGTTTCTGAACCCATTCCTTAGTAATAGGTAATTGGTTCCTAAAATCTGATCATTGTCATATCTATTTAGTTATTGTTATCTTGTGTTTTGATCAGCACACACCTTTAATGGCTTCCCTAGTCGCCTCATAGTGAGAGGGGCATACATCTCTTTTAAATAGCCCAGCAACTGAAACAGAATCAAATGAAATGTCAACTTTTTAGGTACATGTAAAACGTGTATTTCGTGTGTATAATTTTTAAATTTGACTTCAGAACGTTATACACATTGGTGAAATGTGTTTGATTGATGAGGGAAGAGTGCATTAAACCTGTTTGAACAATGAGCATAACGAAGTTGATGTGTCTCATCTTACCAGTAATATCATGCTCTCCATAATATTCCAGACATCCGATAAGGCCAGGTATTGCCAGAACGTATACCATGCTTCGGGCATACATTGTACGCTTCTGAAAATAACATGGCACTCATTTAACAATGAGATAATGAGAAAGTATGTTTACGCAGCAGTCAGCAATATTGTAAGGCCCTGTTGAAAAGTTGTGGAATTCTTTCGCAAATGCTTGAGGCGGTAGTCGAAATGAAAATAAAAATATATAATTTATTACGTAAAATGTAGGGTCTGTAGAAAATTTCAAATTCTGTATTTCACATTGGTTATTGTTAGGATTGGCGGATCCATTTACCAAATAATACATATTAAAATGACTTCTTTGAGTGGCATTTAGAAGTTGGAGTGATGAAGTAAGACGAGTTCTATGGATGACTAGCAATAGCGCTTTTCGAGAATATGTTTGGTAGATTTGCTGTATGTGTGCAGGGAATCAGAATATACATTACACTGTTCACTATGTCTACAACAACATCCATCGGTGACAACGTGATCATAGCATTCATGTACAGATAAATCGACAACTGATCACATTTATGAACTCAATATCATTTTGCAAAATATACACACATGATAATGTCTACTCTTTTTTACCAGACGATTCATTCGTTTGGTAATTTTAACGCATCAAATGGCAACCGATGGAAGTTTGGCAACTGATAGTTAGTTTTAATGCAAATTCTACAAGAAAGAAACCCGACCTTGGAGTATGTGTAAATTCTATTCATCAACTATATCTGGAAGTATTGATCAACTTAAAACCAGAACGTTTTCGCTATTTAACATATCAGGAACATCCCTCTGTCTGATTTACAAAAGGAACCTATGTGATAGAAAAAAAACTCATTTTATATAGAATTACTAAATAATAACTTCCAACCTGACAAGTTCTACTATGCTATACATTTGTTTAATATTCAGGAAAGAGTACGCAGTCATTAGTATGATTAAAATCATTACTGTTCGCTGCTCCCGAGTGATGCACCTGTTCTTTGGAAACAAAGTTGAACAATAATTAAGAAATATTGATACATTGTCGGTGCTTGTACTTCTATTTGTATATTCCAAATAATACAGTGTCTGAAACCTTGAAACCTTGAAACCTTGCCACAGACATGAATGCTTTTGCAGATCGCCACACAACTTAAATATCTATATTCACTTAACCTATCTTTGCTATGAACGACGAAAACGGATCAAGTGTAAGTGCCGTGACACTTATGATTGTCTTCATGATTGTGAAGTAGTGAAGTGTATGGGTCATGTATGCCCAGTTGCAGGGCTATCCTGATGAGTTCCCATTGGTAGCAATGTTCATTTGATAAACAAAATTATTTTCATTGGTTAAAAAAATTAGTGGTCAGTAACCACTTTTTTTACTTTTTAAAATTCTTTTGGATATGCTTGTCAATATATGTGTAAACATTTTGCTTTATATGTTGTTTGTTTGTTGTTTAACGCCGCACTCATCAATATTCCAGCTATGTGACGGCGGTCTGTAATTAATCGAGTCTGGACCAGACAATCCAGTGATTGAAAACATGAGCATCGATCCACGCAATTGGGATGCGATGACATGCATCAACCAAGTCAGCGAGCCTGACCACTCAACCCCGTTAGTCGCCTCTAACGACAGGCACAGTCGCCCTTTACGGCAAGCATGTGCTTTATATGATGCTTAATATGATTCTGGCGCCATTGTTCAAAATAATCCGAGACAAGACATTTTCACGAACATAAAATTGTGATTCTTATGTCTTTTCACGTGCGGAATTGATTCAAAGAGGTTAGCCATTGTTTCATTGCCGTTTCCATATTCAGTCATGTCGACGTCATGATCACGTTGTATCCTGGTATTATCAGCATTTGGAGTGAGTTTTAATATAATCACGGCGTGTCAGCTTGATGTGAGAGAAAAGACAACGACCCACGAGCCTGAATGCAACTGACATATCTAGTAACCTAATTCCTGGGATTCGAACCCACGATCATAAACTACTTGCACGACTAAGGAACAGGAGCCCGCAGAGCGAATTGCAGAGCATGAGATGACTGGGTCACTGAATTTGAATTGCAGAGCATTAGATGACTGGGTCACTGAATTTGAATTGCAGAGCATTAGATGACTGGGTCACTGAATTTGAATTGCAGAGCATTAGATGACTAGGTCACTTAATTTGAATTGCAGAGCATTAGATGACTGGGTCACTGAATTTGAATTGCAAAGCATTAGATGACTTGGTCACTTAATTTGAACTGCACGTAAAAGCAAATGAACAAAAGTCAGCAGCATATTCTGTAACGGCCTCCTCAGACCTGGATGCAACCATATAACAGACTCACTCAATTCACGTGTGGTGCGAAGGCTTTGAAACTCCAAATTTATTCACATTGCTTTTTGAAATTCATCTCATTGTCCAGTATAAAGACCTTGTGGATTGTGGCGGTTGAAATGAATTTTTAAGTTTAAATCTCAGACCAGAAAATACATTCAGTCAGTATGAGCAATAAGGAAAAGGAAACTACAACGCAACGGATGCATGCATAATCTCTACGAAAGGGCAACCGGAGTCAAATATGACTCAAGTGAATATAATCATTGAGCAAGGGGCCCCTCAGAGACTCTGTGACGAGTAAGAATAATTTAAAGATAATTATCTTAACAGTCAATCTGAAGAAACCGTGGCGATGCAAATATATTTTATCACCTTGCAACGAAGTATCAATTAAGTTCGCGCCTTTCTTTGCGGATTTTAGGAAAGTGTATCAGCTCTTAAAGCAGTCTATGTTATAGATGTAGGAAGTGAAGGGCAAGCTGACTATATTGATATTTGCATGCTGTATGAATTTGTTGAGTTTTATGATGTACGAGTATGCATATAATCAATATATATTGTCAAATGAATGTGTCTAGTATTATGAAGTACATGTACATATTGTCATATGATATCGAAGCCGGTATTTTTTTGCTTTTTTTAAGTGTTTACTCCTTAGATGTATATATTTCACTTTCTGTGACTTCCCAATATCATTCAGCGAATACTTTATAATAAATCATCTGTTCAAATATACAACTATAGGGGGGGGGGGGGGGGGGAGTAAACGGGATTCATGCATATTTATAAAAGATATCAAATGCTTGACACATTTCAAAACAGCAAGCATCTGAATAGAATTTCTTCCACACTCGATTACATCCCATTATTTGAAGTTGACAACTTTACATTTTAGAACGTTTACAGGCATACAATATAACTTTTTTTAATGGATCTATATCACCGAATCCTCAAAGTTCAGCCCAGCGTAAAAGTATTGGTGTTAACTTTGCATCAAATAATCAAAAGTAAATGCGAGACTAGTATGGTTTCAATGAGTGTATGCTGATTAACAAGACCATGACATGGTTTCTTGCCTGAATTGCAATGCTATTTAAAGCTTTCGACCACAGTAGTCTATTGCTAAAATACATGCCAAGATAACTGCTTCCAGTAACTACAGACTTCTTTTTTAAACAAATCTACAGTGTCAACAGAGGAAAATTTGTTTGTTAATTTGTTCACATATAATATAAGAAAATACATGTAACCGATTAGTTTCGGTATATAAATGCAAATATTTTATTTTTTCATATCTATAAAACCCACTGCCATTTCTATTAAATATATTTTTAAATTAACGTAACGACAAATTTCCTGTGTTTCCTCGAAGTTGACATATACGTGATTAGCATGTTACCTTTGTTGAGGAAATGGGCCACTTAACGGAATGTAGACTACTTATATTCCAACATAAACAACAAAAGAAGCAAACCAGTCATATAACAGTTCTCATCACGAATAAATCAGAATTGATACATTGTCACACATGTCTGTGTATAATCATTATTACTAAATTCTTTATTTAAAAATAAATTATGTTAAGTTATAATCGCCATTCTTTAAATTTGTATCTAGACTCAAATTCTATATCAGTAAACAACATTAACATTCATAATAACAACATATTTCAGTACATACATAGGTACAAAATAGCATTAACAGCAGAGCTTAGTCTGCTTCATTGTATAATATAACTACAATGATCCGGGGTAGAATAGGTCTTCAGCAACCCATGCTTGCCGTAAAAGGCGAAAACGGGATCGGGTGTCAGGCTCGCTGACTTGGTTGATGCATGTCATCGATCCCAATTGCGTAGATCGATGCTTATGACACCAATCACTGGATTGTCTGGTCCAGACTCGATTATTTACAGACCGCCGCCATATAGCTGGAATATTGCTGAGTGCGGCGTAAAACAACAAACCAACCAACCAACCAACATAACTAAAACCAAAGTGGACCGTGGTAGTACAAAGCTATATTTTTTAAGATGGTGGTCTCTACTTACTGTAAAATAAAACATGTTCTCTAGCAAACAAACTAATGGTAACATGACGTTAACATCAACACTCTTTCTAAGGGCAAATAATGATATATCGGTGTTGATGTTCCAGCTTTTTAACCTAGTCTTGTTGAAAATGGTAGAATAAACATCCCAACGATTAAAGCACCATATCAACAGGAAAACTGTTATCACTGGGACACATTAGTATTTTGTTGTTCTTATAGTGGCGAATATGTACTATTATAAAGAGTCATATAAAGCCTCAAGAAGAGATGGGACCTAGAGTCGCTTCATGTCATCCGAAAAAATGATTAAATGTGAAATTAATACACACAAAAGGCCCCTTCTCTGGGAAAAAACTAACCCAGATTTGATATGTATCTCTTAGATAAGCTAACTTCAGTAGTTTCTGACACTATGTAAAATAACATGGATGAAATTAATACACACAAAAGGCCCCTTCTCTGGGAAAAACTAACCCAGATTTGATAAGTATCTCTTAGATAAGCTAACTTCAGTAGTTTCTGACACTATGTAAAATAACATGGATGAAATTAATACACACAAAAGGCCCCTTCTCTGGGAAAAACTAACCCAGATTTGATAAGTATCTCTTAGATAAGCTAACTTCAGTAGTTTCTGACACTATGTAAAATAACATGGATGAAATTAATACACACAAAAGGCCCCTTCTCTGGGAAAAACTAACCCAGATTTGATAAGTATCTCTTAGATAAGCTAACTTCAGTAGTTTCTGACACTATGTAAAATAACATGGATGAAATTAATACACACAAAAGGCCCCTTCTCTGGGAAAAACTAACCCAGATTTGATAAGTATCTCTTAGATAAGCTAACTTCAGTAGTTTCTGACACTATGTAAAATAACATGGATGAAATTAATACACACAAAAGGCCCCTTCTCTGGGAAAAACTAACCCAGATTTGATAAGTATCTCTTAGATAAGCTAACTTCAGTAGTTTCTGACACTATGTAAAATAACATGGATGAAATTAATACACACAAAAGGCCCCTTCTCTGGGAAAAACTAACCCAGATTTGATAAGTATCTCTTAGATAAGCTAAATTCAGTAGTTTCTGACACTATGTAAAATAACATGGATGAAATTAATACACACAAAAGGCCCCTTCTCTGGGAAAAACTGACCCAGATTTGATAAGTATCTCTTAGATAAGCTAACTTCAGTAGTTTCTGACACTATATAAAATAACATGGATGAAGGTTATAAGTGTATGGGCTCAAAATATAAAAAAATGTAGCAACTCATGTTACTCTGGCAAATAATGATTTATGGCACCAATTCGAGCTCAGTCTTGATAATTATCTCTGAGATTGGCTTGCAAACTTCCACAGATGTAACTTCTGTAGTTTCTGAGAAACAGTGTCTCCACTGCGCACACTGTGCACCAAATAAATAACATTGACCAAGGGCCGTAACTAGGTAATTACAGAATCAATTTTTTTTATCTCAGTCCTCGAACGGACGGAAGGACGGATGGACTGATGGACGCACTCCGTTCCAATATCTCCCGCCCCACTTCGAGGCGGGGGATGATAAAGACTAGACCAGACTAGACTGGTAAAGAAGAGGGATATGAACACGGAAGCAATGATATAATTCGATTAGATGAAGCCGGTTAATAAATAACAAGTCTTGTTAAAACAGGAAATATATGCGAGGATATACAGTGCATGTTGAGGCCTTTTCAAGACTAACTTCAAATATCATACTTGCAATAAATTATTGTGTCTTCCTTAATCAAATCCACGTTCCGTCAGAGAATTTGCTTCAAACGCCACGTCATACATTAAAACTATCAAAAACTAGGCTCTATTTCAGTATAAAAACGGATCTAGATCCTTACAGATTCTGTGCTTACCTAGGAAGTTTGGTTCAACCTATGATTTACATTTAAAAGGTTTAACTTCTTCATTCGACTCCACTCGGTTGATCACTAAAGGAAATAACAACATTACACGGGTTCGAGATCAGTCAGTTTTCGTTTTTATTGTATACATATTTAGTATCAACCAGGAAGTACATGTATGTGACTAAAATTGGTTGTTGGAAGTTTAAGCGGGTTTTTTTCTTACTTTATCAAGCTTATGTATTGGTTAAAGGATAAATACGTTGGCAACATCTGTTTCATTCAATCAGACATGTTTACACGGCAGTTGTTTTTCTTACGCGTTGCACTTGACATAAAATAGATAGTAGGAGGGCCTGTAACAGCGTACGATATGGGGGTCAAAGACAGGAGTGCATGACTATTATATGAACCTTGTTAGAATATTATGTGGAAATGTAAACAGAACACGGTCTATTTGATCCATCATAAGGTAAGAGTTATATTATGTGCTATAAAAGGTAATGTGGCAAAAAGCTCTATGGCCAGAAAACAGTTCGGTCATTCGAACTAATGAATCGATTTCTTAAGTGTGTTCACAAATTTCATGTAATGTCATACACTAGCAATCAGCGTTTTAATCGCCCCCGAGGGGTAGTGGATATACCGTCTGCCCGGAGAACGGAAACCATGAATGGGACAAAAGAGGGACTGGTTGGCTCGGAGGACGAGTCAGCATACTGTGTCTGAGTAGGGTATTCATGTACAACTGTGGAATTGTATCTTAGTGAGCGAGCACGATAAAACCGACATAAGTGCGAGTTAGTAAAAGCGGCCAAACTCACACGTGCATGCATGTCGCTTAATGAGTGAAAAAATCATGAACGCTACGTAAACAATGCCATCTCACCTCATATATTAAAGTTCTTTAATCAACAACAACAACACAGCTACACTGGATATATCATTTATCAACTGTAACCTACAACATGTATGATAAAGTAACATTAACATGTTCCCAACTCATGTTCTTGTACGTTGACCATAATATGTACCTTTTTTGTTATATGATATACTGACAGACAGACATATTTCCCTCAAGCCATATTTGGCTCTGGTTCTGGTCATGTACACAAGCCACATACATGTAGGACGTTCACGTAAAATATAATTACAATACATTACTATTTTTACAGTATAAAGTTCAGAAATTCGTCGAGCATAGACAATAGATATTAAAGTTAATTGCTGTTTCTTAAAATCAAAGATTCTTAGACACATTTGGCTATATTTCTTTGGCAACCAGTATTATCAGATGCAAATAACTGAACAAGTTTCCCATGCTGCTGCACATTACTGGTTTATCCTTTTCACCAAGAATCAATTTACAAAATGCACGATGTACTCTCTCAATACAATCAGCATTTTTCTATCCCGATACTTCACCCATAATGTAAGCCTGGAAACAACCATGTGTCAAATACTTTAAGAGAAGACTTCACATCTACATGCCTTTTTTCCCTATCCGATAATATTTTGACAGCTGGACTAAAGCTACCATCTGACACCATTAAATATCCCAAATAAGTAAACTGTTTTACTATTTCTAGTGAAACTGGTTCATATACAAATTGTATGTTTAATGGTTCATATCATTTTCTGAAAATTACAACTTTAGTTTTGTCAATATTTACAGTGAGCCCCCATTTGTTACAGTAATGACGCCGTGTTATGACTGGAATACTGTTAAAGGTAGCGTTAAACACAACTCACTCACTCACTGTTACAGTAATGAGCAACATTGTCGTTGCTGAGCAACAGCAGTTTTACTGAATGTGATTATGTCATCAGCAAAGAAGAATAGAAATAACATAAGATTACTTATGTCGATGCTAGATTTTACATGTTTTTGCAAATCCCGTTCTAAATCTTCAATAACGAACGAAAATAAAAGTAGCGACACGTTGTGAAGTCAGGATGCCTACAAAGTATCTACTCAAATTATACAAGCACCACAGTTGTTGAGGAGTCCAACTTAAGCATCCTCTTCACAGAGAGTATTCATTAGTAAAAATAATTTTAATAGGATTTGTTATTCATTCTGTGCGTTTCTTTGACTAGAAGAGATTGAAACTATTGCCTGTCGATTTTAAGACAAAATGTCGTATGAAAGGGGCATCTTATATTCAATTCCACGTTTCTTCAACGAGATTAATACCGCCACTGAGATTTCTTTCGAAAAAGACAACAAACATAATGCCTTTCCTTTTGGTACTTATATCATTTATTTGTGTCTACTTCTTTTAAACATGTAATACTCTTTGAGTGTTCAAGCAAATGCATTGCGGATACTGGTCATAAATGCGATGAATATACAACATACAATGTCAAGACATTTTACCATTGAGTAAACCCTTATAGTAACCACTGGTTCTATAAACATGTCACATAAAAGTGCCTGTCGTACATTGACGTATGTACAATACATCTGTTGTTATTAGTATGAATTATGAATATTGAAAAAGTCATTGTGGTGGAAGACAAATTATAATTACATATGTATATGTTTTAATATCACTGATACGTTTGGTTAAGCATTATTCATGATAATTTGTAAAAAAATGAAAGCAAATGACGTTTACTGAGAAAATAATATGTGAAATGCTGGAATTCCTTGTATAAGACATCGATGAGAAATCTTGGGATAGGCCATGTAGGAAAGAAGTAGGCATCCCCATAGTCACCTCCTTGGTGATTTGTTTCTTCATGAATACGTGTTCATTCTGCTCTGATTGGCAAAATCAATACAAGGGAATTTGGCCTCGAAGTTTAACTGAAGCTTCAACTAAATCGATGATCTGATGTCTTAAATAAAGACGAAACAGTCAGTAACCTTCCACTGATTTGCTCCCCTGAGCTGGAAATAGAAGAGACCGATGAAACCGCCTCATCTGTTACATTTTTAGATCTTTGCATAAATAACCACAAGACTGTATGACAAGAGAGTCAACTTTTGCAAAATTTCGAGCAATACTCAACCAAATCCAGCATTTACAAAAATACGTTCTAACTCACATGAGATCAAATCAAAACTCAACGCAATGTATACATTTTCTAAGAAATGAGAAAAAGTCCATGGTCTAAATGCAACAAATAAGAAAATGTCAAAATCAACGATCTTTTGCCTATGTAGAATTCAGGTTCACAACATCAAAAGATATTTTGACAAATTTGATTAGTCACCTTACATATATTACGTAAAACATGGATCATAATTGAAAAGAACTGTGAGTAGAGAAAGATTTTACCTCAGACATCTGTGGGTCTTTGTGGTTGTAACAAGTTTAAAGCAATATTAGGTTGAAATTACAGAATCAGTTATACTGAGCTGCAAGTAACACGGGTACTTATCCTCAATGTTTGGTTTTATTAAGAGTACGCTTTTCAAGGATAGTTTCAAATATTAGCTTGAAACTGAAACCAATCTTCAACACGTATATCTCACCATATTACAATAAAATGATTTTTTCGCAAGTTCATGTTTAAACATGTAGTATATTATACATGCTAATTATAGCAATCATTTGTTTATGCATGTTTTGTTATCACATTGCTGAATACGTTAAATTATATATTGATTTAACTTTTAATACCACACTAGATACATATATTAAAGTATAACGTGACCTGTTCCATGTATATACTCATGTTCAAATGTGGCATGGAATATTGGGCTAGCACTGCAAATTCGGCATACACATGTTAGTCATACATACACGTGCATGCACGTTCCTATGTAAGTGAAATAATCTTGGATGTTTAACCCCATTTCGCCACACCTCCATACGGATAGGAAATGAGTGTACGAATTATGCACGAGATACTGCACACAATAGATGTACTTAGACATAATGTGAACTATTCCATATATGTTCACTTGACACAAACAAGTGATCCAATACACACAGTTTACCTGATACACACTTGGGGTCTCATGCATACACATGTCCAACTGATACACACTTGGGAACTCATGCATACACAAGTCCACCCGATACACACTGGGAGTCTAATGGATACGCAAGTCAACCTGATACACACTCGGGATCTCCGGCATACTCACGTCCACCTGATACACACTTGGGATATATGGCATACACACTTGGAGTCTGATGGATACACAAGTCAACCTGATACACACTCGGGAACCCCTGCATACTCACGTCCACCTGATACACATCTGGGATATATTGTACACACAAGTCCACCTGATACACACATAGGATCACATGCACACACAAGTCCACCCGATACAGACTTGGGATATATTGCATACACAAGTCCACCTGATACACACTTAGTGTTTAATGCATACACAAGTCCACCCGATACACACTTGGTATATATTGCATACAGACTTGGAGTCTAATGGATACACAAGTCAACCTGATACACACTCGGGAACTTTGCATACTCACGTCCACCTGATACACACTCGGGAACTCCTGCACTCACAAGTCCACCCGATACAGACTTGGGATATATTGCATACACAAGTCCATCTGATTCACACTTTGTGTCTAACGGATACACAAGTCCACCTGATACACACTTGGAGTTTAATGGATACACAAGTCCACCTGATATACACTTGGCGTCTAATGGATACACAAGTCCACCTGATACACACTTGGGATATATTGCATACACAGTCACTGTGTAAGTAGGAGTTTCACGCAAATGTAACCAGCATTTCAGTAATATGACCACAAGATAGCTAATTGACAGACAGAGACATAATCGTTGCAAATCCTGAATTCGAAGTTACGGTGCCGGAAGGTTTATGTTTCACTGACAACGACTTGGACAATATTACCCATATGTATCATTTATGATGATGCAAATACTTCTCGCTGAGCAGTATGAGAGATTACATTTACCCCTGTAATTGCATTTTTTAAAATATTCAAATGCGAAGTTAAATGGAATAATAAGTTGACCAAAGGCTTAACATTGTTCCAAAATCTACTTTTATAAAGTGGGAAGCTACCACATATATTTGAAGCATTTTGCGTCTGTGAGACACACATAAATGTGTGAGCGAGTGAATTTGGGTTACCCCCACTTTAATCAGTCGTGTAACCCGATGTGGGAGGAAAGCCCCAAGTGATGCATGTCACTTTGGTGAAACTCACGAGTACGTGTATGCTGCTTATAAACCTAAAAATATATAATGGGCGAACCGGGATTCGAAACCCCAATCACAGGTTTCTGACTCGCCTAACTCTGCATAGTGAATTAAGCGACAGGGCTCACATATCCTCCGCAAGAATGAAGCGTCCCACAAATATCCCCCATATGCAAATATTAGGTGTTTCTTCTATTCAAACTTCATTTTTGAACTTTTAGTCAAGATCAAGATCATGTCAACTTTTTTAAGAATAGAAATCAATAAGTTTTGCGTTTATGGAGTTTTAAACGTAAAAACGCGAAATTAAAATCTGTACAGCGGTTTTTAGGCTTATAACTCCATAAACGTAAACAACTTTTATTGAAGAGATTTTTTATAATTAAATTAAATATGTAAACAATAATAACTTGACCGACTGCTTATTTTAACAATTATTCTAAGATACTTCGCTAAAATATCAAAGGCGCTAACAGTGCTTTATCCTGCGAAAAGGTACACTTTTTCAGTGACGGCATAATAGGTTCACCCCATAATCTAACGTATCCTTAGTAACATTGGTCTATCATTCCTGTCAACCAAGATAACGCATCCACAACAATTATCGATCAGTGAACTACTTTTACTGACGGAAATACTTGCCGGATAACTGAATGTTATTCCTTGGGAACACATCATGACAATATGTTGTCTAATGGATACACAAGTCCACCTGATACACACTTGGAGTTTAATGGATACACAAGTCCACCTGATATACACTTGGCGTCTAATGGATACACAAGTCCACCTGATACACACTTGGGATATATTGCATACACAGTCACTGTGTAAGTAGGAGTTTCACGCAAATGTAACCAGCATTTCAGTAATATGACCAAAAGATAGCTAATTGACAGACAGAGACATAATCGTTGCAAATCCTGAATTCGAAGTTACGGTGCCGGAAGGTTTATGTTTCACTGACAACGACTTGGACAATATTACCCATATGTATCATTTATGATGATGCAAATACTTCTCGCTGAGCAGTATGAGAGATTACATTTACCCCTGTAATTGCATGCTTCTTAAATAGGATTTGTATTTGTAGATTTGTGAAGGCAAAATAAAAGTGGAAAATAAATAGTGACTCAATAAACACTATTTTTATTATGTATTGTATGAACGGGAGCAAATAAAACAATATATAACACAAAAGCATAAAGATTTATATGATCTAATGGTTCGAATAAAACTTCTTCTTTTCAAATAGTCTCGGAGACAACCGCATTGAAGGCCCTTGTTCCCTGCATTCGCATGCTCTTTTAAGGTTGCTGACGATGATCACTCCTAACCATAGAGACATACCACAGCCTTTTTTCTGAGTTTTCTTACCTCTATCCATGCTTCAATTAGGAAACCATGAACTCTAATGCAAGCGTTGATAGGAAACATTTTACCTTTTTGACTATTTTGACTATTACGCCCAGTGGAATCAGTTGCTGCAGATAATTGAGACTGACTGTTCTGACAGCTGACGTTTATATTTCAGGATGCTTCCACTGTATCTACTCAAATGCTGGTAACAATACAATTCCTCAAATAGTGAGATGTCAATCAAATACGTTCAACGCGCAGACTGCACGTGTATGTAACATCCATCAGTTGAATAGGGTCTGTCATATATAATTTCCGTTTCTTTGACTAAAAGAGTTTCGAAACTATTGACAGTCAATTTTACATCTGAAGAGACGTCTAATATTTCTCACTTCTTCTCACTCATGACATCAGTACAGCCACTACGAAAAAGACGACAAACATAATACTTTCCAAACTGGTACTTATACCATTTATTTGTGTATACTTCATTTAGACAAGTAATAATTGTTAAGTGTTTAAATAAATTCATTGCGAATACTGGTCATAAATGCAATGAAAATAAAACAAATAACGTCAACACATTTTTGACATTGACAGAAAACACTATTCAATGTCATGGTAAAAGACATATGTACAATACATTTGTTGGTATTACGAAGAATTATTGTATAAATATTAAAATAGTCACTGTGGTGGAAGACAACCTATTTTAAATGTGCATGTTTTAAAATCCCCTACACGTTTGGCTACATATTGTTAATTTTCAAAGGTTCAGGACTATTTGTCATAAATGAAAACAATATGCAATATGAAGTCAAATAATGCTGAATTCCTCATAGGTAACATCGATAAGAAATATGGGTCTGGGTCATGTAGCAAGAAGTAGTCATTCCCATGGACACGAATGACGATTTGTCTCTTCATGCAGACAAGTCAGACTTTCTTTTCGGATTGGCAAAATCACAACAAGGTAATTTGGTCCAGAAGGTTAACTAAAGCTTCAGCTATATGGATGGTCTGATACTGTTCTGCTAATTCCCCAGATTTGACCACTTAAACTAGACAAAAGAAGAAACCAGTGAAACCACCTCGTCTGTTTCATATTTAGATCTTTGAATATAGATTCAGAGTGACATACATATACCCACAAGACTGTATAACATGAGGGTCAACTTTTCCTGTTTGTCAATCTATACTCCAGCATTTATTAAAATACGTTCAAACTCACATGAGATCATATCCAAACACGGCATGTATATATTTTCTGAAAATAAAGAAAATACAGTTCATGGTATAAATGAAAAATATTTTAAAAATGAAAACATTTTGCTTATGTAAAATTCCTGTTCACAACATCATATGATTTTGACAAGTTTGAATGGCATCTTCTATTAAACACGTAATACGTGGATCATAACTGCCTGAATAGTGTAAGATTTTAGGCATCTGTAGGTGTTCGTGAATGTAACATATTTTTGAAGTCATATTTGGGACCTTCGACCATTTGATATTCTTGAGAGGGCTGGAATTTTGTATCAAGACTGGATATGTTTCAGCTGCATCTGCCGAAACGGATGTGTTTTAATTTATACTGTGAGCCTACACATTTTATATATAAAAAAGTATATTCATCAAAGGTATTTTTATGGCAGCAAATTGTTTTCAATGGTCAGAAGCATAAATACTTTTTTCAAGCCTGTTTAGGGACAAAGTATTTTTCTCGATAAAACCCAGCACCCGCCCATAACATACAAATAAAATTATTATTTAAAAAACTGTTGCCATTTTGTCACAAGTACATGTGTAACAATGCAGTATGACACACGTGCCAATAGCAGTTAATTATGTAAGTATGGTGTTAAACTACTCTAGATACGTATATACACCTACCAACAACTAACTACTGTTAAATGCCAAATATATATGTTAACTTGACACATACAATAATGACATAACATAACGCACATGGAAGTTCACCTGACACACATACGTTTTCTCATACATTTAGAAGAATGAGTACAAATATGTGACTTAATTCTCATTGCACGATTCCGACTATTTCATAAGCATGTGCTTATGAATCATGCACTAGATACAACACGAAATACATATACTAAAGCAGAAGGTGAACCACCTGATACACACATGGGATCTAATACATGCATACACCAGTGTACCTGACAGATACTTGGTCCACCTTGCATACAAATGGCATTTCATGTATATACAAGTAAACCTGGCTCACACATGGCATCTAATGCATGCACACGTCCACCTTGCATACAAATGGGTTCTTGTATTTACGCACTTCCACCTGAAACACACATGGGGACTCATGCATACACAAGTCCACCTCATACATACATGGGCTATAATGCATATACAAGTCCACCCTATGCATACATGGGCTATAATGCATACAAAGTCCACCATATAGATACATGGGTTATAATGCATATACAAGTCCACCTGAAACACACTTGGGGTCGCATGCATACACAAGTCCACCTCATACATACATGGGATATAATGCATTTACAAGTCCACCTCATACATACATGGAATATAATGCATATACAAGTCCACCCTATACATATATGGGATATAATGCATACACATGTCCACCTCATACATACAGGGGATATAATGCATACACATGTCTACCTGATACACACTTGGGATATAATGCATACACAAGTCCACCTAATAAACACTTGTATTCTCATGCATACACAAGTGCATCTGGAACACACATGGGACCTCATGCATACACAAGTCCACCTGACATTCACTGAGTATCTCATGCATACATAAATAGCCTGACAAAACACTGAAAATAACAAAGAGTTGGAACACACATGGTATGTCAAGCATCAAAAGAGGGTTAGGGTGTTGATAAGCTTTTCGCGCTGGTTTAAACAGTATTTCAGTAACATCACCGCAGGATAGCTTCATGACAACAAGCGTCATGATCGGTGCGAATCAGGGGTTCGAACTTACGGTGCCAAAACAGTTACGTTTTCTTTGACAAGACTTCTTGCTAAACAGTATGGCAGAAGTGTCCTTGTAATTGTTACTTAAATGTGTTCTTAAGTTATAAGTTTACGTTTGTAAAAGATAAATGCGGAATACAAGTATGAAAAGTGGTAAATATTCAATCAATAAACATGATCATCATATCTTATCTAACGGTTCGAACAAAACTGAGGTTTTTTCAAATTGTTTCGAGGACAACCGCATTGCAGTCTCCAGTTCCCTGCATACGCCCATACTCCTCTGATGAGATTAACTACAATCATTGCTAAGCCAAGTGGCATGTCACAGACTATTTTCACAAGGTTTATTAACCTTATCCATACTTCAATGATCAAACAATACACTCTAACACAGGCGTAGATAGGAAACATAGATACACCAGCAAACAATGGTGTTATCTCCGTTGCAAGACATGCTAAGAATTCCAACCATATATGTCTTAACATATTTAGAAGATATATGAAAAAGCCAAGGACAGTAGAGACCCATCTGCCTGACTTCGACAAGCCACCTCTGAAGCTTCTTACAGTAAATATCTTCGCAAAACGCGGCATCTTCAGCAGATGAAGCATCAGTTGTTTCACCTTCCTGCCAATGTGTGTCTGTCGTCTACACATCTGACGGTCCAGGGTGACTATACAGAACATGAGGCAAGTGTAAAACAGGACACAGCCAGCCACCATCACTATCAACATGCTCAGTTGGCTTAGGTCACCTGCAACCGAATAACAGACTTGACACAGTCAATCACATTAAATATACACTGAATTGAATAATTTAAGTATAAAACATCATCATCTGATCACATACATATACCGATCATACTAATAAATAATTCATTAAAAGGGACTAACAAGATTTTGAGTGACTTTTTGCACAAGAACATAATATATAAATATAAAGTAGAAATAGAGTTATTTATATATTAGTGTAAATAGAATGTACTTTTGTTTCTTTGTACTTACATTTTACATAATATATTTACATATAATAGATTATAGTTCGAATTCTTTAATCGCATACAGAAACAGACAGACATGCACATCAACTATCAAGTATTTAAAGGCATTAGGAAGCGAGGGAAGATAGACAGAGAGATTATGTTCTCTTTCGAATTCTGTACTTGTATTAAAATAATAAAGTATAGAGAGACGGACAGACAGACAGACAGACGGATGGAGAGAAAACAAAATTATGTTTTCCTTCGAATTCTATACTTTCACCAAAACACACATAGATGCGGAGGTGCATTGTACCTGGCATGTGATGTTTCATTCCAAGGAAATCGAGACTGGAGAAACGTATGTCGTCCATCAAGCCCGGGCCTTGGACTGTATGTACATCCATCGTCCTGGGACCTCTGTTCCTGGAACTGTTATGCAAAACCACATTACAGTAAAGTACGGTTATAACGAACTCAAAGGGACTACTAATTTTAGTTCGTTATAACCGTAGTTCGTTATAAGCATATATACAGCATAATACATCTAATTATCGGGACCAAAAAAGTAGTTCGTTATATCCGTCAGTTCGTTATAAGCGTGTTCGTTATAACCGTAGTTTACTGTAGTTGAATAAACACACGTGTGTATACGAAGGATCAAAAGAAGTACAGTAAAATACGGTCATAACGAACTCAAAGGGAGCACTCACCGAAGTTCGTTATAACCATATATACAGCATATATACAGCAAATGGCAGGGCGAAAACAGTTCGTTATATCCGTAAGTTCGGCAGAAGCGTCAAACGTTATAAGCGTGTATTGTTCACGTCCAACAAAAAACACATAAATCATACACTCATACCCACATTAATATTGTAACTGCACACTCACCCTTTTACACTCATACAATAATAAGTTGATTGTCATGATCGCATCATTGAATGTGGATAACCCGACTTCACAGAAGCATAATAGTGACATTAAATACATTCACACCCTCAAAGGCTGTTTGAATGTGCTTACAGCATCTTTATATCACTTTAACAATAGTTATGTAATTTGCATGTATCGTATTACGATTGTGCATTCCATCCATCATTGTAAACCTATATTTACATCTTGAGAAGATTGGATGCTGAAAACCAGTACAGTGTATGTTACAGGAAGGTTTATGTCACTTCTTTTGACCCTAGGCATTAGACGAATTGTGATGAGGTGAAAATAGCATGCAAAACAGGCCACATCCGATGTCAAATCATTAATGAACACCACTATTTTTACTTCAAAAGTGAATGTGTTAAGGTTAGTTTCAGTTTTGTTTTTGATACAGCCCTAAAAATATACAGTGGAAACACGAGCCTGTGGGAGCTGTTGTGTATGGCTTATTCAATCTGACTGTTTTAAAAGAAAATATATGCAATGTTATTCCGTTCGTTAACATAGAGATTCCATCACAACGCCAACCACTGACATGAATCGATCAGTCACATAAATAATCGTACCTTTCAAGTGGATTTCTGAAACGAATAAGTGGGGAATACCGCGGCCGCCACGTTGAAGCCCCGCATTGACTTACAGCCTTCAATGTCATTTATCAAAATAGAAAAGATATTTTTAGAGGTTTTAAAAAATCATGTAACATTCATGTATATCTTTTGGAAGTTAATATGGCAAAGCTCCAGGATGTCAAAAGCTTCTTGGTTTTTTTAAAAGAAATATTTAACCGTTAATATACAGGTCAGTGGCACACGCATATCAAATGGGGGTCAAAGGAAGGCGGTAGCTTCAAATAGTCGCCGTTGCGAATCAATAATCTGATGCTTTATTCCAAGGTTCGAGTGATTTTTCGTGCACTGAGGTGTGGTATATTTCCGCTGACAATGAGAATTACCATGGCTAGCGATGGTTAAACACCACAGGACGTTGCATAATTGTGTCAGCGTGACCTCATGAGCGTTAGTTATCGCTGTTTGTTTTGTTTGTTGTTTAACGCCATACTCAGCAATATTCCAGCTATATGATGGCGGTCTGTAAATAATCGAGTCTGGACCAGTCAATCCAGTGATTCATGTCATGAGCCTCGATCTACGCAATTGGGATACGATGACATGCATCAACTTAGTCAGCGACCCTGACCACCAGATCCCGTTAGTCTCTTCTTACGACAAGCATAGTCGCCTTTACGGCCATCATGGGTTGCTAAATACCTATTCCTCCCCGGATCTGCGGGGGTACGCTATCGCTGTTAGGGATGCAGACCACAAATAACGGATACATTCTGCTGACATATATTCCTCAATGACTATCTTCATTTCGATATGCATGTATCCTTTCCTTCCATATTTGTTCATTTGTATTCGATGACGTCTTTCGATCTTTTTATGTTTGACATTAAGTTTCATTATGAGGTAAGACTGACCATTTACGATTAACACTTGGAGTGTTTTCACTCTTTACAGATGGCTGACGTGCGCTGAGAGAGATGGACATTGTGTCTGCTGTAACTAATATACAACGAAACCCCGCTAACCCGGACATCCAGTGATCCGACATCCCCGACATTTCAATCGGGGTCGTCAATATGTATTTTAAGCAATATTACAACGTACCCGTGCTTCCTCAACACATACATCTGTTAATCCAGACAATTTCACTTTGGACGATACCGTACGAATCAACGAGTTTCACAGTATGGTTTTCCAAACAACCACGTGGCACCACGTACAGTGAATGAGTGACTGAGTTGGGTATAACAGTTTTGAACAGGATCCCAGTTATGTCACGGCGTGTTAGATGGATGTGGGAGGAAAGCCTGAAGTGATGCAGATCTCAGACGTTTGGTTACCACTTTGGTATGGTGCTAACAAACCTAGACACATAATCGAGACAAAGCGGTATTCGAACTCATTTCGACGCTCCAAGGGACGCCACTCTGCACAGAAAATTGCAACGCCTTAGACGAATTGGCCACCCGTGCCCCGACAACACACAAAAGTTTTTGCACGAACCAAGTAATATTAATTTGTTCTGTCTGTGAGTGAGTGAGTGAGTATGGTTTTACGCCGCTTTTAGCAATATTCCAGCAATATCACGGCGGGGGACACCAGAAATGGGCTTGACACATTGTACCAATGTTGGGAATCGAACCCAGGTCTTCTGCGTGACGAGCGAACGCTTTAACCACTATGCTACCCGACCGCCCCTGTTCTGTCTGTGAATACGACGTATGTTGCACAATATCAGCGCACAGGTTATTGTTTGGCTAGGGTGGTTGGAGTTCCCTCCCTCGAATCTTCTTAGAAAACATCTATATTATCCCATTTCTAATAAGTGGGATATGTTCCACTTGACATTAGGCGTACATGCATACTTCAACTATTTCAAAGAAATTTCATTTTTAAAAAAATTCAAATGCGAATATGGAATAATAGGTTGACCAAAGGCTTAACATTGTTCCAAAATCTATTTTCATAAAGTGGGAAGCTACCACATATATTTGAAGCATTTTGCGTCTGTGAGACACACATAAATGTGTGAGCGAGTGAATTTGGGTTACCCCCACTTTAATCAGTCGTGTAACCCGATGTGGGAGGAAAGCCCCAAGTGATGCATGTCACTTTGGTGAAACTCACGAGTACGTGTATGCTGCTTATAAACCTAAAAATATATAATGGGCGAACCGGGATTCGAAACCCCAATCACAGGTTTCTGGCAGCCTAAGGGACGCAACTCTGCATAGTGAATTTACGACAGGGCTCACATATCCTCCGCAAGAATGAAGCGTCCCACAAATATCCCCCATATGCAGATATTGGGTGTTTCTTCTATTCAAACTTCATTTTTGAACTTTTAGTCAAGATCAAGATCATGTCAACTTTTTTAAGAATAGAAATCAATAAGTTTTGCGTTTATGGAGTTTTAAACGTAAAAACGCGAATTTAAAATCTGTACAGCGGTTTTTAGGCTTATAACTCCATAAACGTAAACAACTTTTATTGAAGAGATTTTTTATAATTAAAAAAAATATGTAAACAATAATAACTTGACCGACTGCTTATTTTAACAATTATTCTAAGATACTTCGCTAAAATATCAAAGGCGCTAACAGTGCTTTATCCTGCGAAAAGGTACACTTTTTCAGTGACGGCATAATAGGTTCACCCCGTAATCTAACGTATCCTTAGTAACATTGTTCTATCATTCCTGTCAACCAAGATGACGCATCCACATCAATTATCGATCAGTGAACTACTTTTACTGACGGAAATACTTGCCGGATAACTGAATGTTATTCCTTGGGAACACATCATGACAAGATGGTGTCCCCTCATGCCGTCACTCATGTCTTATCCCAAACCATATACAAACCACTGTGTGCGTTCCACGGCAGCCACCAAGTTGCCCGAGACAGTGTTGGTACCCTAGGAGTTTTGTCTGTCTCCGACCAGGAAAGAGCAATCCTAGAAAAGTATCATAACCGCATGTACACCTGTTGCTCAGCGTAAGGCATTTAGCAAATAAAAGTGTCCAAACCCTTTCCGTGGCCACAGGAAATCTCTGTTGGAAGCTTACTGTTGCTCTTACTCCGTCATGATCGTCCCACGTCAACGCCATGTCACGCCCTGGTGCTCTTACTCCGTCATGATCGCCCACGTCAACGCCATGTCACGCCCTGGTGCTCTTACTCCGTCATGATCGCCCCACGTCAACGCCATGTCACGCCCTCGTGCTCTTACTCCGTCATGATCGCCCACGTCAACGCCATGTCACGCCCTGGTGCTCTTACTCCGTTATGATCGCCCCACGTCAACGCCATGTCACGCCCTCGTGCTCTTACTCCGTCATGATCGCCCACGTCAACGCCATGTCACGCCCTGGTGCTCTTACTCCGTCATGATCGCTCAAAGTCAACGCCATGTCACGCCCTGGTGCTCTTACTCCGTCATGACCGTCCCACGACAACGCGATGTCACGCCCTGGTGCTCTTACTCCGTCATGATCGTCCCACGTCAACGCCATGTCACGCCCTGGTGCTCTTACTCCGTCATGATCGCCCACGTCAACGCCATGTCACGCCCTGGTGCTCTTACTCCGTCATGATCGCCCACGTCAACGCCATGTCACGCCCTGGTGCTCTTACTCCGTCATGATCGTCCCACGTCAACGCCATGTCACGCCCTGGTGCTCTTACTCCGTCATGATCGTCCCACGACAACGCCATGTCACGCCCTGAGCCGTCGCCTCACGTGACTTCCAGTTGCCGGTTGCAGTATCATGTAGAGCAACCAACTTGGTAAGCTCTCCATTTCATGGCTTGCATTTGCTGCAGTCTGCTAACATTAGTTGTGGAAATATAATTTGCAACTTGTACGACCGAAAACACCCAACGCACAATAACCAGCAAGGCAGAACTTCGAAGAGTGAGTGCGTGAGCATGGTTTTACGCCGCTTTGAGCAATATTCCAGCAATATCACAATCTCATTAAAATCATATCTTAGTTCTCGATATCGCCAAACAAAGATCTGAGGACATCCCATTACGGGTCAAGTCAGAACGACCTTTCGCGAACTTTGACCGACCACTGAAATGACTAACAAGAAGTCGACATCAGCCAATTAGAAAGCAAATTTCTCGAGCTTTACGGCACTCGTTACAACCTGGCGACTTCCATTTCAGACTACGCTTGAAAAGTATCTTGACACAGTTCTCGATTAAAATTTTGAAAACTGAACAAACGAACATTCCGGAATGTCTAATATATGGTTGAGATTGTATGGCAGTGCTTCCCACGTACTGTGCAACGCCTCCTCCGTTCAAATGTTTATGCCATGGAAGCGAGAGATAGACGATAATTTTTTAAGGAATCAGTCGTACGTGCCGTAACTGTCGTTCGGAATACCCCGTGTTAACGTTTTTCGAGGTTGCATGATGAGACAACACATTCCGACTGTCACTTTCATGATCTGGTAATTGATGATTGGTTGGATGAAAGGTCGTTCTGACGTGACACGTAATGGGATGTCCTCAGATCTTTGTTTAGCGGCAGCGAGAACTCAAATCTGATTTTAATTAGACTGGCAATATCACGGCGGGGGACACCAGAAATGGGCTTCCGCATTGTACCCATGTCGGGAATCGAACCCGGGTCTTCAGCGTGATGAGCGAACGCTTTAACCACTTGGCTACCCGACCGCCCCTGTAAATAATCGAGTCTGGACCAGACAATCCAGTGATTGATATCATGAACATCGATCCACGCAATTGAGATCGATGACATGCTTCAACCAAGTCAGCGAGCCTGACCACCCGATCCCGTTAGTCGCCTTTTACGACAAGCATAGTCGCCTTTTACGGCAAGCATGGGTTGCTGAAGACCTATTCTACCCCGAATCTTCACGGGTCAAATAGGGTACGTACGAGGGGCGTTAAATAAGTTTTGCAACTTCAATATAAGACCAAGTCGCAGAATATCTTTTGCACTTTTAGTTTTCAATATAAACTTCATTCACCTCAATACACTTTTTCCATTTGTCCTTCAAGCTTTTAATACCACTTTTATAGAAATCCGCAGATTGGCCCTCTTAAAACCACGCCCTGTGGAAGCCTTTATGTCCTCGTCATCCTGGAAGCGTCTTTCACGTAGGGCAGATTTCATTTCACGGAACAGGAAATTGTCCATGGGGGCTAAGACTTGGCTGTAGGCTGGGTGATTTAACTGTACAGCCCAGGCTCTTTTGAGTCCCTACTCATGATCTCTTGTGAGTCTCTACTCATTATCTCTTGTGAGTCTCTACTCCCATCTTGTGAATCTCTACTAACAATCTCTTGTGAGTCTCTACTCATATCTTGTGAGTCTCTACTCATGATCTCTTGTGAGTCTCTACTTATGATCTCTTGTGAGTCTCTACTCATGATCTCTTGTGAGTCTCTACTCATGATCTCTTGTGAGTCATTACTCATGATCTCTTGTGAGTTCCTACTCATGATCTCTTGTGAGTCATTACTCATGATCTCTTGTGAGTCTCTACTCATGATCTCTTGTGAGTCTATACTCAGGATCTCTTGTGAGTTTCTACTCATGATCTCTTGTGAGTTTCTACTCACATCTCGTGAATCTCTACTCATGATCTCTTGTGAGTCTCTACACATGATCTCTTGTGAGTCTCCACTCATGATCTCTTGTGAGTTTCTACTCAGGATCTCTTGTGAGTTTCTACTCACATCTCGTGAATATCTACTCACGATCTCCTGTGATTTTTTACTTATGATCTCTTGTGAGTCTATACTCAGGATCTCTTGTGAGTCTTTATTCAGGATCTCTTGTGAATGAAGTAAAATCAATGTAACCAACACGACTATGACCAATCGTTTGATTTAATGATTCCATATCAGTGAATAATGCAGTAAAGTAAGTGAAGAAAATCATAAAAATAACCGCAAACGAAGCAACTTCAGCCAAAAATTTCAAGATAAACTTAAAACAGAAAACCAATCCACCAAAGAACCAAATAATGACAACCTAGAAATAAACCACCCTTACACAATGGAGGAGCTACTCTACGTCATCCAAAACAGGAAAAAGGGCACAGCCCCAGGATTGGACCTAACTTCCTACCAAATAATTAAAAAACTCCCCCCTAAACTACTCCAAGCACTACTTAAATTATACAATCTCACCTATCAAAACGGACAAGTACCTACTCCCTGGAAACAGGCCTTAGTCATACCAATCCCTAAACCTAATAAACCAGCTAATCAGGCTAACTCCTATAGACCAATTTCCTTAACTTCAAACTTATGTAAAGTAATGGAATCTATGGCTAAAAACAGATTACAACATTACCTAACTCAAAATAACATCATAAACCCAGATCAAAGTGGTTTCACTCCTGGCCGCTCAACCTTAGATAACCTCGCCCGTTTAGAGCAGGACATTAAAACAGGACAACTCAGCAAACAATACTACAGGCATCTTCTTAGACTTCTCCAAAGCTTTCGACATGGTATGGCACGACGGGCTAATATAAAAACTACAAAAAATAGGACTCAAAGGTCAAATAATAAACTACATCCAAGACTTCCTCAACAATCGTAAAATAACCGTGGGTATAGACCAAACGCTATCGGACCAATGTCCCCTAGAAAATGGCACTCCCCAGGGCAGTATCCTCAGCCCCACACTCTTCAATATAATGATAAATGATCTATTCGAGGGCCTATCCCCTAAAATAAACACATCTAAATTCGCGGATGATGGAGCCCTCTGGATCCGCACAAAAAGCATTAAAACGGCCCAAAACCTACTTCAAAAATCTCTAAACAAAATACAGCAATGGGCTGACAAATGGTGCTTCTCCCTTAACTCGGAAAAAAACACAGGAATAGTATTTAAACACAAAAACATGAAACCCGCCTCCCCAAAACTCCAGCTAAACAACAAACTAATCCAATTCCTAAAACAAACCAAATTCTTAGGACTAATTTTCGATGAACATCTCCTGGGACGCTCACATAAATAATCTAATAACTAAATGTAGCAAAGATCTAAATACGCTAAGATGCCTCACTGGCTCAAACTGGGGGGCCTCCAAAGACACCCTCCTTTCACTCTATATATCACTAATTAGATCTAAAATAGACTACGGATGTGCCATGTACGACACCCTAAACCAACCCCTAAGCAAAAAACTAGACACAATCCAATATCAGGCTCTAAAACTAATAACACGCACTCAACATGGCACCTCCTACACTTCACTCCAGGCCTTAACAGGAGAAATGCCACTAAGTCTACGTAGGGAACAATTAACCCTAAATTTCTGGGCCGCGTCTCAATCCAATCCCCTAATTCAAAGCCTAATAAACAAAAATATAAGCCCAAAAAACCAAGCCCTAGCTCGAAAACACCCTCTACTTACTCCAATATCCCAAAGAACAACCAATTACTTAAATGAACACCAAATAAACGATCTTAAACAAAACTGTTAAAAATCAAATATCTTCCCCCCAAAACTTAAAACACCCAAAATAGACATAACACTAGCTAGCACAATAAATAAACAAACCGACCCAAACAAAGCCAAAACCACCACACTAGCATACATACATGAAAATTGGCCAAATTGGTGTCACATTTACACAGACGGATCCTCAGATCCGATCTCCAAACACACCGGTTTCGGAGTCCACATCACACAACCAACTAAAGCCACACAATCCTACCGACTCCCAAACAATCAATATTGACGGCCGAACTAATGGGCATGGCCTCAGCCCTTCATAATCAACAATCTAAAAAACAACAAAAAATCCTAATACTTACCGACTCGCTCAGTGGACTACAAACCCTCCAAAATAAAAACACCAAAAACCGCCCTGAACTAATAAATCAGATACTAAAAAGCTCAAACGATTTAACTAAGGCAGGTAAACAAATAGTATTCATTTGGATCCCCGCCCACGTAGGAATATACGGCAATGAAAACGCCGATAAAGCAGCTAAACTATCCCTTAAAATCCCAGAAATAAGCTTAAACCTACCAATCTCCAAATCAGAAATTAAAAGTGTTAACAAACAAAAAATCACCAAAAAATGGCATAACCTATATCAAAACTCAAATAGCCAAATCAAAAAGGTTCTCAAAAAAACCCTAACCAAACCAAAATTTCTACATCCGTCCAAAAAAATCGACAGAGTAATTACTAAACTCCAAACAGGACATACCAACCTAAATAACCACCTCAAAATAATAAGAAAACACGCAACAGGAACCTGCCCACATTGCAAACAACAAGAAACCCCAGAACACGCACTCATACACTGCACCCACTACCTAACACACCGAACTACACTACAAACCACCCTAAATCTAAATAAGGCTCTTACTCTACAAGCAAACCTAAACCCACAAAATAAAATAGAAAAATTCAAAGCCTTAGGCGTATACTTAATCAAAACAGGACTAATAAATCGCATTTAAAACCCCAATAAACTACCAAAACCAGACCACATAATCAAATTAACAAACTTCCATACTCAGGTCCCTTAGTTCGTCCCCGAAACCCTCTTGGCATTTTTTCAAAATTTCAAAATTTCCAAAATTCTATATAAGCAACCACTAAAACACCCCTACTGGATTGCCAAACAACTTTTTCCCCTTTTCGGAAACACATTAAATGGCTTGGCCGGGCCCGTGTGCGAAAATACGCTGCAGTCGGAAAGCGCACGTAAAATCTCCAATATAAGTAAGTAAGTAAGCAGGTATTAGACACTGTGGCCATGTTTGACCATCATGCTACAGGTAACGTCTGACAGTGAGGTCAACAGCTCTCAATGCTGCCTCAGACCAACTCTGAAGTTTGTTCGGCCACCAAGAACCCGACACATGGAAGACATCATGGTCAGGAAATGGCTTCAGCATGTAATCCCGGGTTTGTTCCATATTAAATCCAGGTTTGTAGAAATGCCAAGACGCCTTATATGGGTATGTGTCCCAGAGTTGCATGGCCCCGCCTACAGATGGAGGGATATCTGCCTCAGGTATTCTGTACAGTCTGCTCATGTAGGTGTGTATCCTTTTCCGTACCTCAGTGGTGACTCTCTGTGCTCCTGGCATACTTCCATATATGGTGCTGCCTTGGTTCTGAAGTTCCCTCCAGCTAGCGACACTAGCTGATCCGTCGCTATAAGAAGGGAGGTGGATATAATAGCCATTGGTGCCCCTTCGCCAGTCGTAGGTGAACTTGCTTGGCAGATCGCAGCGTCCATGCGTGATGTTTGCGTTTCCTTTTTTCCACCACTGATTCTGGTAGGCAAGAAATATTTTCTGAGCCTGCACTTGGCGTACAGAGTTAACCTGGCGGCGGAATTCTTTGCTGAGTCTGTAAGGAGCGAAATTCACCTTTTCCACACAGTCCTTCTGTACACCTAAGACCACTTTTCTGGCACAGACATATCTCTCTGGACTCTGAAAAAGTGAGTGATTTAACGTTGTAAAACAACGCAGTCGGCAATACTTCCGGTCTATCACACCGGCCAGTAAATAATCGAGTCGAGTAGAAAATTTGTTCCCAGTAAAACAGGGAAAATAAAATGAGTTGTGAATAAACCCCTGATTCACATCACAGAACACAGAATGCGTGTGTTGGAGTAGTGACGGGGAACACATCATTTCTCGAACATGGGTACAATGTGTGAAGCCCATTTCTGGTGTCCCCCGCCGTGATATTGCTGGAATATTGCTAAACGCGGCGTAAAACCAAACTCACTCACTCACTCAAGGTGATTGAGAAAAGGACACACAAAGTCAAATATATATAAGTGAAATTATTGTATACCTTAGATACAGTGTTTTTTTAGGTGACTGAGAAAAGGACACACACGGTCAAATATATAAAAGCTAAATTTAGTGTATATCTTATATACAGCGTTTGTTTAGCAAATGAAAAAAACACACTTCACCTTGGTGGGTGTAGTGTAGCCATCAACGGTCTGGGTGCAGCGTAATGTCAGCTTGTAGTTGCCACGGCGTCCTTGTATAGAGACCAGCTGATGATTTAGGTGAATCGAATGTCTGAAATATGAAAAACGAGACCTTTTAATCTCAGAGAGACTATAGTCACTGTTTCACCAAGAAATATTAAATACTGCTTACCTTAATTCATTTGAAGCCTTCTTCGCAAAGCTTCTTAATTGTTTAACGCATAATGTACTCATATCCCTTTCCTTTACCATTTATTTACTATCCTTTACCTTATATTTACTTTCCTTTACTATTCATTTACTATCCTTTACCTTATATTTACTTTCCTTTACTATTCATTTGCTTTCCTTTACCTTATATTTACTTTACTTTACCTTACATTTACCTTACCTTAATTATTACGATATTACTTTACCTTACACTGGACAGTCTTACTTTACCTTACACTGGACAGTCTTACTTCACCTTACACTGGACAGTCTTACTTTACATTACACTGGGCCGTCTTACTTCACCTTACACTGGACAGTCTTACTTTACATTACACTGGACAGTCTTACTTTACCTTACACTGGACAGTCTTACTTTACCTTACACTGGCCAGTTTTACTTTACCTTACACTGGACAGTTTTACTTTACCTTACACTGGACAGTTTTACTTTATCTCACACTGGACAGTTTTACTTTATCTCACACTGGACAGTCTTACTTTACCTTACACTGGACAGTCTTACTTTACCTTACACTGGACAGTCTTACTTTACCTTACACTGGACAATCTTACAATACCTTACACTGGACAGTTTTATTTTACCTTACACTGGACAACTTTACTTTACCTTACTCTGGACAGTTTTACTTTACCTTACACTGGACAGTCTTACATCACCTTACACTGGGCAGTCTTACTTTACCGTACACTGGACAGTTTTACTTTATACCTTACAACACTGGACAGTTTTACTTTACCTTACTCTCGACAGTTTTACTTCACCTTACACTGGACAGTTTTACTTTACCTTACTCGGGACAGTTTTACTTTACCTTACACTGGACAGTCTTACATCACCTTACACTGGACAGTTTTACTTTACCTTACACTGGACAGTTTTACTTTACCTTACACTGGACAGTCTTACTTTACCTTACACTGGACAGTTTTACTTTACCTTACACTGGACAGTTTTACTTTACCTTACACTGGACAGTCTTACTTTACCTTACACTGGACAGTGTTTCTTTACCTTACACTGGACAGTGTTACTTTACCTTACACTGGACAGTTTACTTTACCTTACACTGGAAGTCTTACTTTACCTTACACTGCACAGTCTTACTTTACCTTACACTGGCCAGTTTTACTTTACCTTACACTGGACAGTTTTACTTTATCTTACACTGGACAGCATCGTTTTACCTTACACTGGACACTTTTGCTTTTTTGCCATACTGTGGAAAGTATTACTTTACCTTACACTGAATAACAATACTTTACCTTACACTGCACATTATTGCTTCACCTTACACTGGTTGGTATTCCTTTACCTTACACTGAAAAGTAAGTATCTGGTGAGGAGTCTTTTAGGCACCTGATCCATGCCATTATCCACAGTCTTCAGGTCAGCGAACGAATCTACACCACCGTATTCCAGGAATATGAGCCCTATCAACGCCCCAAATCTCCCAGTAGCGTGGTCCCAGACAAGCGCATCGTGTAGATAGTTATAGGCTTCTCTGCTGGCATAACGGGCTAAAAATTCGTCCATTCTAAAACAGACATATATCACAAACATTAGACATGCACAAACGTCCCGTGAAGATCCGGCTTAGAATAGGTCTAGAACAGGCGACTATGCTTGTCGTAAGAGGTGACTGACGGGGATGGGTGGTCAGCCTTACTGACTTGGTTGATGCACGTCATTGTATCCCAACTGCGTAGACCGATGCTCATAACATCAGTCACTTGATTGTCTTGTCCAGACTTGATTATTTACAGATCGCCGCCAAATAGTTGGAATATTACTGAGTGCGACGTTAAACAAACAAACATGTACAGACACGTAACTACCACCCGTGTTTTACATAGGTACCTACACTCTATCACAGTTTCGACACAATGCTTCTGAGATATGCGGACAGATTAGAATTCAAATAACATAAATGACTCAGGAAGGTAGTCTTTTTAACACAGACATATATCTGCCATCTCACGATTTGGAAAAATGAATCATGACAGATCTATTTTGAGTGAGTTAGTGAGTGAGTTTGGTTTTACGCCGCTTTTAGCAATATTCCAGCAATATCACGGCGGGGGACACCACAAATGGTCTTCACACATTGTACCCATGTCGGGATTCGAACCCGGGTCTTCGGCGTGACGAGCGAACGCTTTAACCACTAGGCTACCCGACGACCCAGATCTAGTTTGAACATAAATCTTGTATACATAGTCTGTGTTTACATACGTGATTGTATACAGTGGAAGGCCGTCAGTCGTGTGTATCTTATATATCTCTGATTCTGAAGGATAGGCACCAATGCTCATGTTGGTGTTCGCCGTGTACAGCCGCCTGGAGGATAGCATGAGAAGTGACAGGGTAAATATACTGTGTATCATAATCTTACAGCACTGCGAATAGCGAACTGAGACTAACATTTGTATTATGATAATTCCGTCACAGTGCATAATAACTAGCTTCATTCAAAATATAGTGTTTTACAAGTGTGGAAATATATATCGCAAACCATCTGGGTTTGCTTGTGATGAATAATGAAATATGCGATCCTCAGCAACAGTACTGTGGGATGCCGATCTGTATTTTGAAATATACCCTTTCAAATACCTGAGTCCTGGCAAAACTACAAACCTGAATACTGATATCACACAGTTAACTTTGCTTTCGAGTGAGCTAAATTCTACACGTACAGGAACCTGGTAACATCAATGAAGAGCTCAGAGCTATGACATAAGGGCCAATGTCATGTGGAGTCCGTTTTGAGAAAAGTAATGAAAACCATAACAATATGCATGCTTGTGCAACATTTCTTATTCACCGACAAATTCCTCAACTTAACACATTCCGAAAGCAGACATATTAATGTTGCTATAAAAAAACACATTCAAAAATAGAAATTAACTTACCTATTTAATTTGTGTAAGGGTGGAAAGGGCCAATGTCTATATTGGCCCTTTTTACCTTCAGGCATTTGCATGGGATTCAACATGTGAGATTGATAAAACTACTACTGAAAGTATAAACACTAGTAAAGCTCTTTTACATTATTTAAACTAATGCCACCTTTGTTGAAACAGTTGAAACATAATAATAATGTTTCCAAACTTTAAAAATCTCTTGAACAACCAGTCTCAACTACACATGGAAATGAGAGCTAAAAAGGCCAAAATCTAGCAAAATGACTTTGGCCCTTTTTTAACTTGACTTTGGCCCTTTACTGAATTTTAAGTGGTTATATTTCAAAAACTTATCAATGAAAACATACAATATGTTTTCTACAAGTAGACAAGAACTCATAGTTGTTATTTATGCAATAATATGCAAAAGGGCCTAAGTACATTTTGGCCCCTTTTGGCTCTAAGCTCTTCATTTAGAAACTAGAACGAGTACAATGTGTCCGAACATCTGCTCACCACAAAAGGTCAAGCGGCTTGAGCCTCTCTTGTGGCCTCAGATTGTATGGAGTCCGCGGACCACCAAGTTCCTCTATCCGAAGATGACGCCCACGGAGGTAATATACCGTTTCATTAGGGTTGCCAAAGTTTAAAGGGAAGTTGACAATTCTGAGTCCAAGCTGTCTTGCGGTACTCACGAGGTACGTGTGTTCATTAGGTTTTAACCTCATCGCCCCGAAGTCCACGGTCGTGCCAGTTACCGTGGGGATCTGAGCAGTGAACATTCGGCCTCCAATGCGGTCAGAGTATTCAAATATGGACATTTTTAGGCCTTTATTCCTTAGACGGTAGCCTGTGTACGTGCCAGCAATACCTGCTCCAATAATGGCGACATCGAGACAGTTGTCGTCATAGTTGTCTGAAATGAGATGAGAGATTGGTTATCTTACGTGACACATGGCTGTCGGTTTCTTATTGGATGAGTGAGTGAGTGAGTATGGTTTTACGCCGCTTTTAGCAATATTCCAGCAATATCACGGCGGGGGACACCAGAAATGGGCTTCACACATTGTACCCATGTCGGGAATCGAACCCGGGTCTTCGGCGTGACGAGCGAACGCTTTAACCACTAGGCTACCCGACCGCCCCTCTTATTGGATGAGGCCCATACTATTATTTTCAATGTACCCCGTTAACATGTAAGGTATATATTATTTTCCCCGACCGAATTGCCGAAATTTGGCATTACATTTGCAACATACCAACATATTGTATCTCGAATTAATTATATAAGACGCCATTCTCCAGATAGTTACGATAATTTCCGAATGAAATAGTTCCAGGGGGAATAACTCTAAGTTTGTTTTCTGTCGTCTGCTATTTTTCGGTGAATGTTAAAGCATGAACGAAGTCTATAAACGCCTAACTGTGGTCATCTTCCCGAGGCAAGGCAGTTAACTGACTATAAAAGTCCAGTTTCCACCCTTGACGAACTAGGCTGGTATTATGGATTACATTTTGGCTGGACTAACGAGTCTATTCTTAGTCCAATCAAAATCGCGCAACGAAATCGAAACCCGGTTCGTTAACTGTCATGCAGATTTCAGTTGATTGCAGGCTTTGCAAAGCATGTGCACCAACAGCTCGTTGTCAACAGATATTTCCCAAATCATTTAATGTTTTAAATAAAGATTTGATGCACTTCGCGATGTAAGACTCGTTTTTTAACAATATAGATCAAATTTATCGATCAGAGCGTCTTGACTGAGCGCCGCCATTTTGTTTGAAGTAAATGCAAGTGATATGAGAGGTGGAATCTGATTGGTTCATTGGAGAGGCATAGAAGGGACATAAATAGTAATAGCCACTGGTGGCGCTACGTTTGAACCCAGGAATTCCAGCCTCGTCCGGCAAGGGTGGAAACTTGACTTTTAAGGTCAGTTAACTCTTTAGCCTCGGGAAGATGAACTGTGATATTCCTATCGATTCGGACCAAACCATGCATGCTTAAGACATACACTATAATTAGGTGTGCAATAAATTCGTTATCCACCGGTCCCTCGGGTGAAAGGGGCCGGTGTACCTTTATGTTAGTAAACTGCATAACATAACCCCCCAGACCGGCTGTTAAAATACAGTAAACTACGGTTATAACGAACACGCTTATAACGAACTGACCGATAACGAACTTATTTTTAGTCCCGGCCTTTTGATGTATATATGCTTATAACGAACTACGGTTATAACGAACTGAAATGAGTGGTCCCTTTGAGTTCGCTATAACCGTAGTTTACTGTATAATGTTTAATAGTAATTAATCAAAGGCAAAAGCCACGAATCGAGGAAATTGCTGACAATGTTACGTCACACGGGTAAAGACATGGTGAGCTTCACATTGACTCACCTTGCAGCGGATCCTGCCAGACGCAGCTCACCAATGGCAGTAGTGCTGACAAAGAGAGGAGGCTGCACATGTGAATGTGGTGTCAAAGTGGGTGAAAGTCCCTTACATCCTAACATTACCGGGTAGAGTGCGTGAGTTGGATATAACGTAACTTTGAACTGTATAAAAGCGTGACAGCTCAATGTGGGAAGGAATCCCGAAGTTATGCAGGATTTATGTGAATCTGGGATTCGAACCAACACTTACCGGATCCTGGCATGCCTATATTGATGCTTAACCTAAAGGGACAATTATAAACGCTGCCATGTCAGTAAGAGAAGAGATTACACGGGATCGGGTGGTCAGACTCGCTGACTTGGTTGATGCATGTCATCGATCCCAATTGCGTTGATTGATGCTCATGATGTCAATCACTGGATTGTCTGCTCCAGACTCGATTATTTACAGACCGCCGTCATATAGCTGGAATATTGCTGAGTGCGGCGTAAACAACAAATAAACAAACAAACAAACATGGACATGTTTATTTTGATGAACACAAGTACTCACATAAACACAGCCAGAAATGCATTGCAATATCCAGTCCCTGAAAGCAATTGCGAAGATTGACTCATGTCTGACATACAAAAAACATATTTGTCTGATGCTACAAATACTTCAAATATACAGCTATGTACGATAAGGAAAGGAACTGTTTGAAGTAGATGTAAATGTATAATTATCGTGTATATGAATAACCTACCTGTGGAGCTGGAGATATGGCTCTGTTCAGATCTTTCCTACCGCCGTGTTTAATCACTGGCGTCAGTGGCAGATGCACGTCGTTAATATTCTGCTTTAATGCATGACACTCCACCTTGACAGTGCACCTCCGTTGGTAATATAATTTTATTTATTCTCTCCAATACTTTCGCAGCGGGAAAATGAACATTGATACTTATGTGTATGCTACAAAATGCCAATTTGAAGAAGATGCTTTACTTTTTTTTCGTTTGATTAACCGATCCGCCGAACTTCTAAAGCGAAAATTCAGAAAGAAAACGAAAACAGAATGACAATGGGAATTTTTATACCGTCGACGGAAATAAAACGCTTTGACAATAAACATGTCAGTGAAGTGCCACTGTCTCTTTTTTAGAGTGATACTTAATATTTATAAGGACCAAAACCGGGCCAAAGATTATTAAAAACAGCTAGAACATACCTTTCCAAATCAAACCTTAAGATGATTAAACAATCGCGTATAATGCATTGTATTATATATTTTTAAATCTATCGACAACATTTTTCATTATCAAACTACGTAAATCCCCCCAAAAGTCTGGCATAATTTGGCATAATTCGGCATAGTTTTGTACTCGTTAATGATACGAATACAGTTAAGCAGTTAAAACTCACTGATAGCATATCTGTTTAATCAACATAATCTTGTATTTCAACACGATCAATGGCATAATGTGTCATTTCACCGATTGTACTCCCTGCAAGATACTCGCTCACTGGGCTTCACTCACTACAAATTGGAAAATTTCTGATTGGCTTATCATATTCTGTAGGTGTGGTATTGGACGCACGGCTTTCCGTGGACAGACACGTTAACCACATCGCAGAAGTGAATTCCTTCCAATTAAGGAATATACAAGTTAATATCAGGCATTATCTTACAAGGGAACCTATCATCATCCTTGTTCTCTCCCTTGTCATATTCTGGACAGATAAATGCAATAGCCTTTTGACTGGTGCACCAACATCAATAATTAAGATTCAACGTGTTGAAATGACAACTAAGATTGCCTCATACTGTAACAAGTATCATCACGTCACCCCTGTCAACTTACATTTGTTTCCAGTTCGGCAGAGGATAAGCTATGGCCTTCGGTCTTTCTCCTTCGCCGCCGCCACACAATGGAAAACTTTCCCTCTCCATCTCTTCAGATCGCGCATAAAACTTCATCTGTTCCTGAAAGTCTCTCGGGATTATTTTTTTCCACTGTGATTGTGCATTCATTGCGAATATTTTTAATAATGTTGCTGTTATTATTATTTACAGATTAAAATTATAAAAAGCGGAAACGCTGCCTAGTCGAACCCACCCAGAACCTTTCGGAGAATGTGTAGACTTCCCAACACTGCAGCTTTCTGCATTACCCAGATTGTCAGAAGGGCTCTATTCCTGGTAGCAAACCCGGGTACTCTCCGAACGTCAGTCAACAGATTGGGAGGTACCAAATCTAAGGCACCGAGAACAATGGGGAGAGGGACAACTTGGTACTTTGGATGCGAGCGTGACATTTCGAAAGCGAGGTCCGCACATTTGCCACGTTTTTCCTCAATCTTGTCATGACATTAGTGTCTAAAGGGACAGAAAACTCAATAATATTTATGTTTTCATTGGATTTATCAAAACGGACAAGATCAGGTTTGTTGGCCTGGATACGTCTGAAGCTGTATACGGGCCTATTCCAAAGAATTTAGTTTTTATCAATTTCCATGACGCCCTATACATATTCTGGGTCGTACCATGAATGGGCCTCTGTCTCAAATCCACAAACATGGCAAAGACGGTAATAAATTGATCGAGCTACACCATCATGTCGCTTGAGATACTGTGTTTGTGCCAAAGCTCGGCATCCACTGACAATGTGCGGGACAGTCTCATTAAATTAAGTGCATAATCTACATTTCATATTTACATTTTGATGCAAAATCACACATTACGGTTTCGAGTAGGAAGTGACTGGTCCTGAGCAGCAAACAGAAAGCCTTCTGTTTCACTTTTCAGGCCAGCCGACTTCATCCAAGCGAAGGACGCTGCACATACACTCGATGCAGCACAAGAGGATCATCAGACAAATAAATGTGTGCAAATATGCACAATACAATTGTATCATGAAGAGCCTCCACGTTTATCAAACCATGTCTGACATGATTCTTCGTTTGAGAGTGTCAATACCATGAATTTCTTGTCTCGTTTTGCATTTTATTGCGAGCTGTTCAGGCCAGCCTACTTCATCCAAGCGAAGGACGCTGCACATACACTCGATACAACCAAGGCGGAACATCCCCTGTATCCACAAGAGAATTAAAACAGTGAAGTAATGGCGTTTGGACACATAGGAACAGTTTCCAATAGCGGGTTCGAATACCATCAGGCCCTGGCGCCGTAATAGATTAGGACTTTTTAATTACATTTTTCAGGCAATCAGGACAAATAAAACACAACAATCGTGACGTTATTTTTTCGTGTATACTATCATTGTAATCCTCTACCCATGATTCTTCGAGGTACTAGTTGCTGGGTATAGATCACAACTGTTTCCAAAACCTTTCACTGGAATCCATGGTTGGTCTCTTCTCATCACTGTCATTGGTTGCAGTATACACGCAACAGTTAGTGTCATGAAAAGAACAGTGCGCATTGAGAGTAACAGAAATAATGTCATTTAATTCATTAAGTTGATTCTGTGGAAATGATTGGTTCATTTGTTTAATTGGCCTCCGTTTCTCAATCGATAAATCACAGATTTGATTATAAATGACATAAACATAATATACATGGGATCATCAGAAAGATCGTCGACAGAAGAGGGGTCGGAAGAGGGGGAAGACTCAAAATCTTCGAGGCCAACATCAGGGATTTCATTTGGTGAGAACAGTGCTAACGTCCATTTGCAATTTCAGGTTTGCTGCCGTTGGAGCTGGGGATTTATGCAAAGGCCTCTGACGGCAGTTAGCTCACCAGTCTCACGGCGCATATACAACTTCAGTCGCCGCGGCTGGTCGCGAATATTCTGCTCTGTCAGGTATGCATACATTGGCATGGCTTTGTCCTAATGTTGCTTCAGTAATTTGCCATTTATACCTGGTATGTCTGGTCATCCTGTTGATTTCGCACACTCAAGAAGTGTTGATTTGAGTTGGTACGTCCAAGATATTCTTGGATGGGTTCTGTGCCTCCCACTGGGGCAAGTCCCATCTCCAGTTTGGTTGGTTTGTATTCCGGAGGGAGGCTAACTGGGCTGCGGAGATGAACAATGGTTTTTTTTCTTGGCATTCTGTAACCCAGTAGTAGACCAGCTTCGGGGGGTTAGCCCTAACTGGGTGATGTACGTTTAGTTCAGAGGGAAAAAATAATCATTATTACAAAACATGTTTTGTGGGTGGTTCTTTTCACGTATGCATCCGTGTGTTTCTAACATGACAGTATGTGACATATGCATAAGGAAATGCACCTGTTTCCTTGTTGGATGTCAAACAGACACATTAAACTACTATGAAAAGCTGGGCGGTGATATATGGGATTCGAAGTTCCGACGTCTAATACATTGTCAACGCATGTGATATGTGTGGCCTCAATCTTCATCAGACATTTTGCAGTTGAAGAAAAGTACAAATACAGCAATCATAAAAAAAACATTTTGAATTCTGAGGTATTTCTCTGTTCTGAGATTCTGGTTTCATAAATAATCATTTAAGGCAATGTAAAACATAAGCAAACAACATCTTGGTATAAGTTACATCGTAAATATCGATACTTACAACATTTTACTGCCAAATTTTAAGATGTAAATATCAGACAGTTCCTGGGGAGAATTCTGTCCGAAATTGTTTCAGATATTGCTTGGTTATCAAAGCACAAATAACCATTATGAAACATCAACAGTAAATCCCGATTTGTTTTGTATGCTTTGGAAATAACGTTTATACGAACGCTATCTTCAATTCCATGGGGGCACGGGTGGCCCAGTCGTCTAAGGCGCCGCGATTCACTGTGCAGAGTTGCGTCCCTTGGGCACGCCAGAAACCTATGATTGTGGGTTCGAATCCCGGTTCGCCCCAATTATGTTTCAAGGTTTGTCAGCACCATACCTGTGCTCATGTTTCACCGAAGTGGTAAACATCTGAGACCTGCACCACTTCGGGCTTTCCTCCCACATTAAGCTGACACGCCGTGATATAACTGGAATAATGTCAAAAGCGGCGTTAAACCTAACTCACTCACTCAATTCCATACTACTGTTGGATGTGGCGTTAGGCAACAAACAAACCCTTACTTTCTGGGGGAGTTTGTGTGAGTGTTGTGTGCTACCATTAGGGTAGGACATGCTTACTCTTTCAGCGAACATCTGGTGTCACGGATTTTCAGTAAACCATATGATATATTATTTCCATCACTATTTTGCCTCTTACATCTTATGGAATCTGTTTCGGCAGATAATGGAGGCTGATTATTTCTCTGACGTTGACCTTAAGAATTTAGACCATGACGTTCCGTGTATGTCGGTATTGAGATGCTTTTTACATCACATATATGTGCTGCGATACATGCAGGCTGTCCTCGATATAGTTGGAACTAAATGCTGAATGACTGTTCCCCTAATGAAGCAGGAAGTAGACCTGGGCCCACTTGCACAAAGCGATCTTAGCGCTAAGACGATCGTAACTCCCATACTTTAACATAGGCTTACAATAGTTGTAGCGCTAAGGTCGCTTTGTGCAAGTGGGCCCTGGATGAAATCAAGCGAAAAGTTAAACCAAAGCGCTACTCATCAAGCCATAGTTGTTTGAACAAGAAAATTCCTGTTTAACACTGTGTAGAATTTCCTACGAAATTAAAAGGTCAGTTCTCCTATTCTTTGCATTATAATGCGTGAAGTAAAATTTAGAAGTATATGATTAGGAAAATCAAAACATTTGTTTTAGTTCAGCAAGACGCCATGATGAATGACACACAATTAAGCTAGCATTATCTTTGACAATAATGACATCGTGCCTCCAGGGACTCCGCCTCTTAGAGTGAATGAAAGATGGCATTTACATCACTGCTCATGGACATTTAATATGCAACATGGAAACAATACAACACATGCTCAGACATATCAGATGCGAGCGGAGTTTACAGCTCGGACATATAAGAAGTGAGCGGAGTTTACAGCTCAGACATATAAGAAGTGAGCGGAGTTAACAGCTCAGACATATTAGATGTAAGCGGAGTTTACAGTTCAG